CTTCTCTCTCTTTCGCCCTCTCTCTCCCTCTCTCTCTTTCGCCTCCCTCCCTCTCTTTCGCTCGTTCTCACATTACTTTGTCAACTCTTTCTGTCTCTCGCTTTCTCTCCTCTCTCTCTCTCTGTCACCTTTATTCATTTCACCTATTTAAAAGAAATGGAGGGGAGGGCGTGAAGGCAAACACGAAGATATAGTAATACTACTTCTACTACTACTACTACTACTACTACTACTACTACTACTACTACTACTACTACTACTACTACTAATAGCTACATTAGTCGTATTGCGAATGATCCATCCAAGGGGATGTTCAAGACGTCTTCAAAGTACTATTATTACCTTAGCTTTAGCTCAGCTGACCTAAGGTGCTCAAAGCATTCAATGAATACATTCCTACTATATAGGTACCCATTTACTGCACCTGGACGGAGAGTGGTAAATTAATATTAACGTCTTGCCACAGAACATTACTGCCGCGGCAGGAGTGAAACTGTGAACCGTATGATGCACATTTAGGTGACATCCACTCACTTTAATATAGACCTTGGCACCTTACATACCATTACAGTATTTGTGGTTTATTTAGATACAAGATGAAAATGTATACAGTTTGTCCGTTCTGAAACGTCTCGGTTTCAAATAATCATTAATACATATTTGTAAGCATTTCAAGACTCTATATTGTCTGGGCCGGACGCACTGGAGATCGTTGTGGCCATAGAAGAGAGAAATCATATCCCAGCTGGTCACCCGACTGTCAAAGTCGACATGGGTGACACCACAGGTTCACCAGACGGACGGCCCATGAGGCCAAAACCTTCGCTCTCGTGGACCCAATCTGATGGCGATTTCAAAGGTTCACGAGTCATTAAATACACTTTGAGACCGAAGGCCCACAATAGTATACTAGCCATGGAGGGTAGGGGGACCAACGAGGATAACCAGAAAAAAAAGAGAAAAAGAAGAAAATAAAGGGAAATATGGAAAAGGGGAGCAAGGGAAAAGAGATAGAACAAAGGGGAGAGGGGAAATACTACTTGAAAAGAAGACAGAACACCCGCCCCAACTGTTAAGTCCATTTACCTTGCATGTTGTATCGATTTAATATAGGCATAAGGCCTAAGCTATAACTCGGTGCCCTCTGGACCTATGTGTCGCCACTGCCCTTCGATACGATAATTTGGGTCTCATGGGCCTTCTGACACAAATTTTATTTGGAAGTTTCACGAGACCGATATTCGTGGATCATTCGGTCTCCCGGGCCTCTGGGCCACTTTTACTATATGGTTACGCGATTCCACAAAGTTACTTAGATCACTAACAATTCTTGCGTCAAACATTTCCATGGGAACAGTTTTTTAACCGCTTTGAAACACAGTCAAGTATTGTTCCACCCGCCTTCTTCAAATAGAACTGAAAAGAATGTTCAGGATGTTTTTGTATTTGTTTTTTTCTTCTGACGTACGTCTGTATTGAAATTGGTGTTCGTTTTGAAGATTTCTGAGTTCGTTCAGAATCAGGTTACATCCATTAAAACTTCTTGTAAAATTCAACAATGAAATCATGTTTCTATGATTTAAATAGACTTTATAGAACATGTAGAAAGCTCTTGCGTCGGTTCAGTGTAGCGTAAATTTGTTGAATACACACCCCCCCCCCCGAAATATAGTTTGCATTATCAAAATGGTGTCATGTACGTAACAACTATGCTATTTATTACATCAATGGTACAGCTGTTCACCGGGTATTTTGAGACCTAAGACTGTAATTATGAAGGGTAACATGGGTAATGTGATATAGGCAGTGGCGGAATAAAGGAGAGGCACAACTGGCCTGTGCGGCCCCTTCATATTCTATACCTCAGTCCAGGCGCGTACGCAGGATTTTTTTTCAAGGGGGGGGGGGGGGGTTAACATTTTTAAATCGGGCTAAAATTTCGCAACGACTCTTTAGGTCAGTCATTGGTATAACTGAAAAAAAAAAATAATAACCCCCCCCCCCCCCCCTGCGTACGCGCCTGCCTCAGTCACACCGCCAAACCGACTTTAGACCGACTCCAAACCGACCGATTCTTGGCCATAGACTTAAAGGTATTATATACCTCACTTAAGAAATCCAGCCATCTGATGGTCGAAATTGCATTCATAAACTTTAACTATTCCTGTAAAATTCCCGGTAAATTCCGAACCCATGTAATAGTTCTAAAAAATAGTTCTAAAATCCCAGTAACCATGGTTACCGGGAAAATAGTTCAGTCTTGATGAAATACCCATAGGTTGACATGTTAAAAAATGGTCTGAGCGATGGAGGATACCGTACGTGTGCGATGAATGGTCGGTAATTTCAATACAATTGAATCTCGATCGATCTTACCGACAATTTTATCTTGTATTGTTGACATGAAGACGAAATAAACTTCCAAAAACAACATCTGCCGATGGATCTTGATCTAAGTTCGTGCCAATGCATTGCAAAAGTAAAAGAAGGGCCCGTTTAATGGAGCTGCCGCGAAGTTTCCAGCACGCGAAGCCGTTTTCAATCCATTTTAATCTATAGATTAGAGAAAACTGCTAGAATTGGTATCAGTGCGCGATGGCCGAGCGGTCTAAGGCGGTGATTTTACTCACATCTTCGTTGGTGCGCAAGAGATCTAATCCCACCTTTGACAAAAGTCTTTTTATTTTTATTTTTTATTTTTTAGTCTACTCTCAAAGATACACTCATAAAAAAAAAAAAAAAAATGTCCAGATAAACTAGATAAAGGCCAAGGTGGTGTCATAAGTTGACTCTATTCGGCATATAAAAGTATTAATGACTGCTTTAATATTCGAGAAATAGTCGTTTTTATACGCTCTCGGGATGGTTTCAATTGGCTATTGCCCTTGGCACGCCTCGGGCAATAGCACAATTCTAACCTTCCATTGAGCTTATAAAAACAACTATTTCTCTCAAAGCAGTCATTAATAGGACATACATGACATATTCATGATTCCTGCAATGTTCTACAGAATTTGATGTTGGCTGCAAAAGGGACATGGTATCTTTAATGTAATATTTTCGTTCGGGTCTTTGTCGGTGTAGTGTTGGTCTTTCGATGTGACTTGGGTATAAGTGGCATACTTTAGTAGACCACCCCAAGGATATTGTGTCCTCTTTTTGTTTTTTAAACAAAATTCTGAACCCGCCTCTGGATAATAGACCTACGTCACCCTAGACACCTGTTGCTATGGATACCAGGGAATTACCCCCAATACCTACCACTGTTTGCTTGGAACAAATATGATGTCATTATTGACTTATAGTAGAAAATAAATTCTAAAATTAAAATTAGCATAAAGGAGTGTAATCAGAGGTAGGTCAAACTTTATTGTCCCTAGCCTATGCTAGTCCCTGGTAACTTTCAGAGACGGACTTGCAATGGAATGAAGATTTTGATTCACTCTGAGCACGAAGAAGAGAACAAAATATTTGAAAGAGGCAATAAGTTGATTATGAAGACGTATTGTAAGGAAGTTTTAATAATGTTAACTTCTAAAGTGGTGTGATTTTTAGAATAAAGGGACATTTACATGAAAATAGTATATCTAACTTGCTGTAGCGAAATTCTCAATATAATTATCCTCACGCAATATTGTTGATGACAATTTTTGCCTCGCAATTTTTTATTTTATTTTTTTTAATTTATTTTATTTTATTTTTTTTTTTTTTTGGGGGGGGGGAGGGGGGAGGGGCTTGAATATTTGGGGGAGGGTCTTGATCCCCTCCCCCACCAACGTTTGTAGCATTGCTTGTGAAGTAGAATACAAAAAAAACTGTCGGCGGGACCCTTTAGTAGGGATACACTCGGGGTGATAGCAGCAGAGGCTAATTTCCCTAGAGCGTATAGAAACAGCCAGTCCTCTCGTAACAGTCGATATCTCTATATTATGATAACTACATGTATATATCCTATTTATATTCACAAAGCGAACTTTTTACGAGAGCAAATTGTATTTGAATGAGACCCAACACATTTGCAAAAGGTAGACAAGGTAGGAACAAAATGAATGGTTCGAAAATTCCAGAAGTTTTCCATTCATAAAGATCTATTGTTCGAATACAATGGTATTACTGATACAACAGTACAACTGCGTTAATGTGTGGAGCGCTAAATAGCCTCGTTCGAAGTCGCCCACTAGATTTTTCTACCCCTCAACCCAGTCTCTTTTGGTCTTCCCAAGCTGTTTCATTAATTCTAATAAGAAACCAGAAAACTTGACCTGGCTATTAAATACGTATCAGCGTAAAGCCATGATATTTTGAAGGGAAGTATGTAAGATTACCGAGAAAAGTGCCGACCGACCCAGAATTTGTGATGAATTTTACAGACCGCCTAGAATGAGGACGAGAAAATCCCGTGGTCTTACTCTGATTTTTGTTTTTTCTGTTGCTTTTCCTTTTACCAGAAGTTTATCTAGCTCAGTTAGATATGAGTCTAATAAACAGTCTTTCCTTTTAAACCAAACAGTCGGACTTTGTTTCCTTGTTCATATTTCATAGTTGAATTCGTGTGAATTTCATTTACGACCCACCCTCTCCCAGTATTCCTTTTTTAAATAGCAGCAGTCTGGTACAAAACCTACAACTGAAAACAAGTGACGTCACACAAAGCTACTTACGTCACCTCTGCGAACAAGTGGAAAACTTTTAGGAAATTACATTTGGTAAAACACTCGCCAAATTATTAGTTATCAGAACGCAAGAAGGTGTAGTTGGAAGAACACGTATTTACAAATCAATGTCACAGTGACTCATAGTAGGCCTAACATTAATTTAGTCATAGGGTAAATAGTAAACAAACAACATCTTCTCTCCTGGAAGAAACTAGTCACCCCCTTAACTCCGGGCCTTAACTTTTATCATGGATAAAGTATTAATTTGTGTTCTTTTGTGCGTGGGCTTGGGCGTAAATCACGTCCTCGCCTCGGTGTTCGCGGACCGCTTCGCGCGCCGGAGGAGGAGGCCGGGCACGTGTCCCCGAGAAGGAGCCGGTACCCGAGTACCTCCAAGCGGTGGTAAGCTGCAAGCTGGGAGAGCCTCATCGACAGTATCCAGAGTGCCGATGTGGAGAACGAGTCGAGATCGTGCCGGAGGTCGAGATACCACTCGAAAGCTTGGGAGACTATCACGTCAGAGTTAAGCCCACTCACAAAGGCACGAGACACATGTAAGTTGTAGGCCTAGACCTTTCGTTATAATGTTTTGTTGCCTGACATTGATAAAATGGATTGCGTTTCGGTTTTAAAGAATCGATCGCACCTTTCTAGCATGAAATCGTTATTCATATTTTTCAAGGTAAGGATATGATATTATATGTGTTGCAGTGAAGCTTCATCGGTTCTATTTGGAAGATTTGATATTGTTGATTCATAATTCCACATTTTTTTTTCTATCATTGCCTTTTTAAATCAAGGGAAAAACAATCCTGCACACCAATTTACCACACTGTGAACATTTCATGATGTTGGCTATAGTTTAAACTATTTTGGCAAATTGTTCACACTGTGTCTTCATGTCAGTGTTTTCCACTGTGTGACTGGGTGTACGTATGTGATACAGTGTACTGGTGTGAACATGGTGTGTTTACATTATGGAAGTGTTCCCAGTGTGTGGCAACAGAGGGAATCACAGTGGGAGCACATCAAGTGTGAAAACAGAGATTATTTGCAACACTTTCACGACGCTGGCAATGTGAAAATAACGAATTCAAACTGTGCATGGCCAACTGTGGTCTATACACTACTGACACTCTGTGATTATATATTGTTAATGTAACACAAATGTTCACAGTGTAGTGACACCTTGTTTGACATTATGTGGTCACATAGCAAACTGCAGTACAATGTCTCCACAGTGACAATTTACAACACTTTCACAGTATTGACAATGTTAAGACACTGTGTCCACACTGTAGGACATATTTATTACAGCAGATTCTATAAATCACAAACGTAGAATACATGAATGAACTTTTTATCATCTGGATCACAAAACAATCTGAAGAGAGGAAAGGAGATTCCATGCTCACAAAGAACCAAAGTTATTATAAATTTGTGTCACATTGAGCAAAACTTGCATTATTTAAAATGTTCATAATAAACAACTTATTTTCTATACCTTTGACCTAAAGAGTAGACTGCTATTTGTGTGGGCCTAAAAGCAGGTCCAATGTTTTGTAAAATAGATTGTAAACCCTCAATTTATACATGAAACACTATTCACCAAGTCTGATGGCCTGGTTTGAGATATCAAAAGTTATGTTAAATTTAACGGAAGCCACAGCCAATACAATTAAAAGAAAACTATTTGCAAAGAACAGATTTGCGTACATTGATTTGCGTCAGACCGGTGTATCAACAATGGCGATTAGATACTGACAAAAGAAAATGAATGAATGAATGAACTTTGGAAATCAGGTGACTGGAACGAAGTGATAGCAGTTTGATCTATAGCTTTACAAATATAAATCTTACAAAAATAGTCTGTCGTATTCAGACACATTTACAATTTGAGTTGTGTCCATAATCATGATGGTTTTACCCTGCCAGCTACTCTCAACCCAAAAGTAGGACCTGTATACTTGGACAAACTTTATTTATTCAATTATGACGATGAATTTAAAACTTTTAAGCTGACGTATCAAATTTACAACAACAACCAAAACAAATATATTGCATGGAAAAATATTCGTGTAGCAATGGGCTTCTTTTGTACTTATCAAGTTTTCCTGCTAAGATGTAATTAATAGTATTACAATGGTTTCAAAGTTACCTTTCAAATCGATCGCAAGTCTTATGCTACAAGGAAATAATATCAAGTAGGAGAAGGATAACATATTATGGTGTCACTCAAGGTTCAGTCCTCGGGTCCACTTTGTTTTTGATATATTAATGATATACCATCTTCTACTAAATATTTTGAATTTAGATTATTTGCTGATAATTCAAATCTATTTCATACTTTTGATAAAAGACAGAAAGAAATTAATATGAATGAAGTAAATATAAAATTTGTGGAAGTCCAAAAATGGTGTTTTGTTAACAAGTTGACAATGAACTTAAAGAAAACAAACTCTATGCTCATAAAGAGACAAAGGCAATTATGTAAAATTAGGGGTATATTGAAACTCAGTGATAAAGTGATAGATAGAGTCAGTTTATCATTTTTCGAAGGAATTACAATGATGAAACCTTGATGTATCATCTGTTTAATTTTGTTATTTTGTTACCCACTTGAATACATTTGTAACATTGTGTTATGTTGTTAATAAATTCAAATTCAATTAAAGAACTTCAATGGAAACAGCAAATGTATTAATGCTCATGTCTTTGTACCTTTTTTGCAACTATAAACTGATCAACTCCTGATTTGATAGACTGTTCCAAAAACTACTTTAACACTGTTCATTCGGTAATATCTATTGATAGAATTCTATACAATAAACATGTACTACTATTTGCTTTTCCATTGTGTGGATAGGTATAATCACGGTATCATTGACGTCAAATGACGTAGGTAAATCTTTATTTTTGCTTCATGTTGGGATTTTTTAATCTGACATGCTATAATCTGGAATCTATAGAACAAAGTGCTGAAGTTGCTGAAATATGATAAGCCATAAAAGCAGATAGAACCACACCCTTAGATCTTAATATGGGTCGATCTCGTGTCAAATTCGTCGAATGCCTTATTTGGAAGTACCACAATAACTATCATTAACTTTGTAGTTCGTTCTATTATTTTATTTTCATTACAAACATCTTAAAATATACAAGAAAATCAATGATTTGAATTATCAAATTGAAGTTGCCATAGAGTTTCGTTTGTTTGTTTGTGTAATTCTTGGTGTTGCACGGTTGTGCATCGAACACCCTCTCCTCTGTTCTTTGAATGGAAAGTGTACACGTCCATGTCGAGAGAAAAGAAAGGAACAAAACTTTGGATCCAAAATCTTCGCTCACTTTTATCTTTTTAACTATGTAAGTTTTTTTTAAAACAAAATTATGGCGTGACGCCTGCTTGACAACTATTGTTCACTGCGTGGTCTTGCCAGAATAATTATTGTTGGAAATGCTCCACTGAATATGAATAAAGGTTACCTTGACAATGACTACACGTACCAACGTCACTGGTTTTACATCCTGCATGTTCCAAATTCATTTGAAATGTATTTTCTAGGCCTGGGTTCTCGGCTAACAGAACAAATGGATTTCCAGGGAAACTTGTGACGCATGATCTTTCCATTATTTACGCCTTAAAAGGCTTAGAACATCGGTCAAGTTCATAAATAGATTAAAAGAACGACACAAGTCAATAGTGAGATCTGATTGAACAATGCTCTTTAGCTATAAACATAGGTCATCGTATAGTTAAATCTATATAGCGACAGCGATTACGTAGTGCAAAACTTCAAAAACTGTCACCTTTCTTTCTAATCCAGATCATAATTGCGTCAATGGCTCTGTTGAATTACATTATTTTGAAGATAAACTATTCAAACTTGCAATCAAAATCATGAACATTGATATGAAACAAATTATAATATTATGGTAATGTATGATCACAAATAAGAAATTCGTCACACCCTTATACTAAACCACTAACTTCAACACCCTTTTTACTATGAACTGCATGTAAATGGATCTATGCTTCTTCCGAACTGTTTAATTGACCTGGGTCGACGGTTTCATTTCCGGCATTCAAGTTCATAGTAATGACAACCATATGTGGGCGTCATGACAAACCCCGTTTTGATATTCTTTGTACTGTAGTAAACGTCAGCTTCTGACAAGTTCCCTTTAGTTCCCTTGTTGTAGAATTTCCTGTTCCTTGTTTAAGTTCGCGGAAGAAATTAAAGGCTTCACATTCAGAGTCATTCGCACAAAATACACGTAAATTTTACCTTTTTTTGGAGATGCCCCCCCCCCCCCTGGCGCACGAAATTTAAATTTCAGCACACTAAATTTCAAATTGACTTCAAATTTGGCCCCCCCTCCCTAAGACATCCTGGATCCACGTGGCGATTTTTTCGACCTGCCCCTCCCCCTAGCCCCAAAAACTGTTTAAAAAATAGGATAATAACGTAAATTTAACCTTTTTTTAAACAAAAAACAAAAGCGGCCCCCCCCCAAAGAAGAACAACTAATTTTGTTTTCGCCCACACCAAAAAAAAAATTAGTTTTTCTTCTTTCCATCACCCCCCCCCCCCCACCTCCAGCGTATTCACCTGCTGGATGAATCGCTACAGATTTTCTCACGAATTAGCCCCCCCCCCCCAAAAAAAAAAAAATAAATAAAATAAATAAAAAAAATAAAAAATAAAAAATAAATAAATAATAATACTAATAATAATAATAAAAAAATTAAAAAAATAAAAAAATAAAAACAAAATTATGTGCTCTTAGATGACTGATTCGAGGGTACAACACAGTGTGGTACTTGAGACGAAGATGACTAATTGGAGGGTACAACCAGGCGCGTACGCAGGATTTGTTCAAGGGAGGGGGTTTTAACATTTATAAATCGGGCCTAAAATTTCGCAACGACTCAGCCAGCCGCTGAATAAGCCGGGGGGGGGGGGGGGGGGGGGGTAAGGTCAGCTTTTTTAGGTCAGCCATGGGAATTTTTTTTTTTTTTGTTTGGTCTCGAAATTTGAAAATTTGACATTTTGCTCCGTTGGGGGGGGGGGGTAAGGTCAGCTTTTTTAGGTCAGCCATGGGATTTTTTTTTTTGTCCTCTTACCCCCCCCCCCCCCCCCGGCTTATTCAGCGGCTGGCTGATTTGCAAGGGGGGGGGGGTTTAGGGGGGTGAGGGGGGGGGGGGGTTACACACAGAAAAATACCAAAGGGGGAGGTTAAACCCCCCCCCCCCCCCCCCCCCCCATGTGTACGCGCCTGGGTACAACACAGTGTGGTACTTGAGACGAAGATGACTAATTGGAGGGTAAAACACAGTGTGGTACTTGTGACGAAGATGACTAATTGGAGGGTACAAAACAGTGTGGTACTTGAGACGAAGATGACTAATTGAAGGGTACAAAACAGTGTGGTACTTGAGACGAAGATGACTAATTGAAGGGTACAAAACAGTGTGGTACTTGTGACGAAGAATTGGAGGGTACAACACAATGAGGTACTTGAGACGAAGATGACTAATGACTCACTTAGGTGGACAAACGCGCTGTAAAAACGTGATAACAGATTAGTTTCTTCATTTGACACATATTCTCATGTGCATAACTATGTGCTAAGTGTGACTATACAATTGGCGTCTTTTTAAAACCATTTTATTCTAGGGTTTACAGAGAAGACATTCTCAAAGGTTATGACAGTTTTAAAAGCAATGACGTTCATGTATGGTGAGCTACGGAGATATAAACTCAACCAGAGTAAAAATAGTTGTACCAGAATTTTTTTTTAAATGGTATTAATTGTCGTTTAAAAAACTAATTTATAATGACAATGATGACTAGATTGCGAGAGTGTTATTAGGTAGTATACAACTTTATTTCAAGAGCGTAAAACCTAATTCACTGAAAAGAAAACTGCATGTACTATATTATCACTTCAAGAATCTCCTTCCTGATATTCATGCAACAACAGAGGCGTCCAATTTGCATTTATTGTGAACTCCCTTCGAATGGTCTATCTCATCTTTTTAATTTGTCTTTCTTTATCTTTACAGCTACTACCACTGCCTGTTCTGTAGCCAGTGCCTCGATGGCGTTCGCACCCTGTCTAATTGTTCTAGAATGATAGATACTCAATGCACAACATCTTGTATTAAAGCAACCGATATCTTTGACAAGGGTAGAAAGGCCTGTGTCCCAGACCCGCGATTCAAGGAAGATACAACGAAATCGGCTGATCAAACAAGTAAGACACTTTCTTTTTCATTTATATAATTTGTAAGAAATCAATGAATAGATTAAAAGAGAATAAACGTAAGCGAAATGTTTTCCAGAAAGAACAAATCTAGCAAAACCATCCTCGTAACTCCCGATATTGGATTATTTGACAGCCACAAGGTAAATGAAGAAAAGTTGTAAGGAAACATAACCTCGTAGATCCTACCTTGCCTGATTTTATAGGCCTAGTTTTATCCTAATACTGCAAAGAAAGGTTACTTGATCTTGGATTTGTCTCACACACACACACAAGTGACACAACAACAACAACAAAATCTTTGAGAAAATCAGGACCAAAATAAATAGTTTATTGTGTTTATTGTCATCCCAATTAATGAAGAAGAAAAAAAAAATCCACGTTGATGCCCGTGTTCAATTCCACTTTTTAAAACCATGGATCAGACCCTGCCATGGATGAATAATTAGCGGGGGCGGTACAATAATAATAATAATAATAGCTCGTTCTTATATAGCGCTTTTCAGGACCGGAGGCCCTCACAAAGCGCTTTACAGATAAGTATATTATTACCCCGGTCATTGGATTCAGGCTTACCCGCACGCAATGTATGCACATTCTCCACTCCCTGGGGAGCATTCCAGCCAGGCGTCATTTTTACATGCGCACACTTGCTAATCTAACCACATTAGCTTTCGCATCCTACCGGGTACCCATTTATCACCTGGGTGGAGGGTGGCAAATGTAGATCAATGTCTTGCCAAAGGACATTAGTGCTGCGGGACTTGAACCACGGACCTTGTGATCCACAGTCCGGTGACTTATCCACTCGTGTACAACACCTCTACAACCCAGTTTTACAGGTATACGAAAGGATATGATTAATTGACACTAATTTCAATATTTGTTGTAATATGCGTTTTGCATTATTTCATTTTCCAGACTTGGTGGATGAAGGTGGAGTTCAGACAGAGGGAGAAAGGACGAATAAACCATCGTCGATGCAAAATACAGGTAAGGATTACTATAAACTGCAAGCTTGTGGACTTTTGGTTGATATGATCGTGTACTGGCCTATTTTAATATCAAATCCAATGAAAGATGAAGGAAACTGCTTTAAAAGTGATAAAGAATTGGAGCAAGTATATGAAAATAGTTAAAGACAGAGAGAGAGAGAGAGCGCCTGAACAACAAAATGGTCACCATTTCATGCAACTGTCATAAGTTTATGCCAACAAGTTCGCTTACATCCCGATGAAAGGAGTGATAATATTGTAAAACACGCTTTTTATTGAGATTTTGTCGAACTTCAGTTGGTTTCGTGAAAAAGTTTCCCATAAACAGTGTAGTTATTTCAATGGTGTGGGTCCGTATCCCACTGCTGCCATCAAGTTGAGCATCGGATTTGGTTATCATTTTCACTACTGTTTAATGACCAAAATTTAAACAAATCTCATCGTCTAGAGATTGGCTTATTACAATATATACATGTCAGGGCGGAAAAATGGCTAGGCAAAAAGAAGAGAAAGGGTAAAATGGAAAAGATAGAGGAGGGAGGTTGAATGTGGGAGGCGAGAGGAGAGTGAGAAGACAAAAAGGTAGAGCAAAATGGAGAAAGGGCATTTTAAAGGGGATAGAAATAAAAGGAGAGGAGAGAAACAGAAACAAAAAGGACAGGAAGGTATAAAATTGGAAATACATAGAAAGGGAAAGTCGAAAAATGGAAGAAAAAGTGAAAGGATGGAGGGAGGGAAAATAACATGTACGTGTGTGATTAGACATTAGAGGTGTCTGTCTCGAGAGAAAAGTAACATTCCATTGATTCATTATCATATCTGTATTTCAGACTACCCTGTGCATATAGACTGCAAAAACAATTGTATCTAAACCAAATAAACTTTTCCATTTTGTGCACAGACAATCACAATCCGAATGGTTCCTCCGGCAAATTGCTGTTCCTCGCTGACGACAAATACCTCCTGATCGTAGGCGGGGCCCTCGTCGTCGCCGTAGTCATTGTCCTGATTGTCAACATTTTCATCTGCAAGTACTTCTACCATAAAAAAAAGCGCGACCAGGAAAAAGATCAAGAAAAAGAGAAAATGCTGCCGTCGACATCGAATGACCCCGATGTGTGAAGGTAGCGATGATCATTGTCGTCTTCATAAACCAACTTGATCTTGCCATCATCCTGCCTCTAGAGATGCTGCGATTTATTGGACCATTTCGGGACAGAATGAAACAGATATATGAAAAGGATACTCCGAAATCTGTTTTTTTTTTATATTTCGTAAAAAGTATAGTGTTAGGGTGACGGTTGCAACTAGGTTTTTAGTTTAGGATTAAGTTAGGGTTAGTTATAATATTTGATTCAGGTTTAAAGTTAGAGTTGGGTTAGTGTTGGAAATCGCCGCGGAGCAATTGTTACAGGAGTCAGTGTCAAAATGCAAAAATATTGTAACTGAATTCGATAGCAATAAAGGAAGACGTAAAGAACAAGTATGAGTCACTGACACATAACATGTAAACAAAAAAGTAATACATTTTTATCGGGTTTCATTAGGAATTAATTTCTTTTCTCGAATGAATGGATCTTTTTTTGTATCACCAACAAGCTGAAATATGTTTTGCAAATTTATCTGAAATGATTGACAATGAAGTGTGTATTTCACATGTTGTGTTTTGGCTCGCAAATCAAGACCGTACACTAAGAGCCCTACAAAATATATCAGATGCATGAATATAAAGAGCAAAGAATTGATGCACACTGCATTCACTTTTCTTGATGCCTGGAATTTTACAGAGGAAAATGTGCTTCAAATTCCCAAAATCGGCAACACATTTAGAGGTTCAAAATCATTATTTTCGATCAAAATTTGTTATTTTAACAACTTTTTTTTTACTATGTTCCCACGCCTAGATATTGCGGGTTTTAGAGACACTGTATTTTATTAGACCAATGTAGTGATAACTCAAAATTGTTATTGTTGCCAATTTGAAGAACAACATGTGATCAATTCAGCCCTTAAAATAAATCCTGTCCTGAAATGGTTAAGGAAGGATGTAGATGGCGACTGTGTGCAATAAATATTTGTATCATAATACGAGTACTATATAGCTACTGATGAAATTATGAAAATGATGAAAATACTTCTAAAACTCATGTTATATACTGTAAAAGTGGCTGGAATCCACCTACTTGATCATGCAATTATCAATCTTTCAGCTCGGACTTTTGTCAATGCTACGTCGATCAGCAGCCAATCTGATTCTTGTATCCCAAACAATCAATCGGTATAAAAAATTAAGATAATGAACAATTAAGTAGCTTTTATTTGCTTTAAAGGTAAAGACCAGTATTGGAAACGCCCAATTTCAAAAAAAAGAAATGGAAGCTCTCATTACCAATCATGTGAAAGAAAATGTTTTGACTAATACATGATGATAAAAAATTTGCCGGGAAACCGCCTACTAATTCACATATTTGGTAAATTTGTTTCTCTCATGGTCTGTGAGAGATATAGGGTAGTCCCATATACATCTTTCTGTGTATAGTGCTTGTAACTTTACAACGAATAGGCCAAATTTCTTATCATTTTGATGATTCCAGAACCTTGCAGATGCTAGATGCTAGATGATCAACCTTTTCTGATCGATTCCACAACGTTTCTTTCACAATGCAATCGCATGACCATAACTGGCCTTTACCTTTAACAAATAATTTGATCTCATTTGTATAGGCCTGATTTTGTAAAACGCGACTAAAAACAGTAAAATATACTAACATGAATAAAACTTTATATCGTACTTGAATGCTCGACACAAGAAATTGAGTCGCGGCGGATTATAAATGTAGCGGTTAATTGTTAGGTCGTAAAGATACTATGCAAGGAAACCCAGGCGCGGATCCGGGATTTTTTAGGGGAGGGGGCCCAACTTTTTTTTTTTTGCTCCCGAAAATTTGAAAAACGCGCCGGCCAAAAATTCGCTCAGTGGGGGGGGGGGGGGGGGGGGGGGGGGGGGGGGGGGGGGTAGTGAGCACATTTTTTTTTTTGATCCTCAAAAAAAAAATTCAATTTGCACCCCCCCCTTGAGTGCCAAAGTAAAAATCACGTGATTTTACATGATTTTTTTTCTCAAGGGGGGGGGGGCCGGGCCCCCTGGGCCCCCTCCCCCTTGATCCGCCACTGAGGAAACCCGTTTACTTGCTAGACTTCACTGTCAGACACGATTGAGTGACTGACTGGCTTTTTTTCTTTTTGGTAATAACATATATAAAATGAGCTGTAAAGCGTACGTCAGCATTTGTACATCAATAACCCACTTCTTGTAATGGCCAAAATTAAACTTATTGAATATTTGCGCAGCATAAAACGTACGACCATTCGGTATAATATTCTGAAAATCAAGACTATTACTTATTGGCTCTATAGCTCCTAAGTCGATTCAACAACTAATAGTCGTTATTTTCCCACTTAAAGACATTTTCAAGGCCCCCCCCCTTTTTTTCAGGGAAGTCCTAATTTAAATGCCGTTGGAATTTAACCTTTTCATTTGTTTGGCCTGCAAATGGGACATAGTACCTTCAATGTAGCAAAATATAAAGAATTGCTAATACGCAAAGAGCTGGACTCAATGAATTTTCATCATTAGTAGGCCTATTTAATAACTAGTAAAAGTCATACGAGTATTAATAACAAATATTGTAATATGGACATGCACAAAGGCATGTGTAATAGTTTCTAAGTTATTTATAATTATTCTAAATACGATATTTATTGAATTAATTTTGCATTATAAAAATTCGTCATTCCACCATTGTGCTTCCAATATATTTAACTATACGGTTACTATAACAGTAAGGTCATTATTGTAAAGCGTAATCTGTTTTTGTTTAAATATTTTATATTACTTGTATTTGATGTTTCTTCATGTCTGTATTTAAGGGCTGGCCCGATAAGCTTTTATTTATGTGAAGTGGATATGTATATTATATATATTAAATTGCTGGTCAGTTTACGAATCTGAAAAATAAGTGCGGTGTTGCATTTCATTTTGCATTGTGATTTCGTACATTTAGACTATAAATTCTCATTCATGATTTTGGTCCCAAATATGATAATAGATAGATGAAAAAATTGAAACAATTTACCTCATGCATACTATTAATATGCACGAGGTATATTGTTGTTCTTTATAATGTCATGGAAAGAACAAACAACCCTCCACCCCCCCCCCCCCCACTTCCCTTTATTATACATTTCGATAAAAAAAAAATTCTTCAAGTTCTTTGCTCTCTCTCTCTCTCTCGCTCATTCCATCTCTCTCACCATGGACCTATACTATTTTCTCTCTCCCCCCCTCTCTCTCTCTCTCTCTCTCTCTACACCCCTTCATTCTCTAGATATATGTCAGTCTCTCTCTTCATATTCTCCAACCTCCGAGTATGTGCTTATAAAAAGGGGCAAAAAGAAAGAGTGACAGATAGAGGGGGAGAAGGGGAGCGGCAGATATATATATATATATATATATATATATATATATATATATATATATATATATATATAATAGAGAGAGAGAGAGAGAGAGGGGGAGGGAGATGGAGAGGGCAGAGAGAGAGGGCAATGTATATATATATATATATAGAGAGAGAGAGAGAGAGAGAGAGAGAGAGAGAGAGAGACAGACAGATATATATATATATAAAGAAAGATTGAGATTTGGAGAAGAAAAAACAGAAAGACGGACATAACCCGAAATATGGTTCCCAACACAAGTTTATAAATATTATTAATACATACAAAACAAAGCATATAAAGATATCTATAATACTAATAAATTTATATTTCGACAATGTTGTTCAATTAAATAGCACTACCACTAGTATTCTCTGCTACTATTGGAAGACCTTTGTAACCTTTTTAAATGGCAGTTCCATATTTTCAATAAACGTAATGGCAATTTCATGTACTTGTCTTTACATTATTATTGCATTTTAAAGAATGATTGCACATAACTGTTGTATCGTCATTCAAGTAACTGAATGTACCCCATAACACTCTAAGGAATCTGTTTTGGGGCTACATGCTTGATAATTGGTTAATAAATTTATCAATATCCAACAGTAATCACCAATATAGTCGTATCCTCTTCAATAACTTATTCATTTGAAGTTGTCACAAAAGAGAATAACTCTACAGGATAGCCTTACTTTCAAAAAAGGCGGGGGGGGGGGGGGTAGATGGAAGTCCATTTGATATCACTGCTATCATTTCAATTTTGTTGTATAATGAATAGCCTGATGCAAAAAAATGTGGTTAATTTAGATATAAACATCATTTAAATTATAATTACAGATACAGTTTAATTGGGTTTATATAATTACGGGAAAGGTAAAATAAATTGCCTAGACACATGTATAGATACGTCCAACGATGCTACATGAACATATACATTTGGTCAGCCAAATAAATAATTTCTCTAAAATAAATTAGTACAACTACATGGAAAATGTACATGTATGAAAGTGCAAATATATTGTAAGTACATTACCAGATTATAAAAAATACAATGCTTTGAACACAAAACTAACCTGTTAAGATTCTAATATTATGTCATATTAGTTGCAAATCAATACAAATTCCTATTTCTCATTTAAGTCACTTTTGGCACTTCTTTTATACACATTTGGGTTAACAAATGATACATTAAGGCCACGAATAAGATAAATATAAAAGATTCGAAATGACAATCATCATTCACTAATTTGTTTTGTAAAAGGGCAAACCAAGTAAACAAGCAATGGGATTATATTTCACCAATGGAAATTATTAGATAGTTATGGCATGTTTATGCCATACTTTCTGGGTGTGGTTCCCGTACATTTGTTTAATTAAATGGTCTAAATAAATAACTTCAACTCCTCTTTTGACATATCTCAAAATACTAACTTTGCCAGAAATCTTCCATCCAAAACCTTTTTTCTTTTTAATACCAATTCGAATATGCTATTACTGTACAATTCAGAAAACATGCTCGACTAGATACATGGCTATATGCATCTTTGCTGACGACAAGAACATACGGTAGGTCAAATCAAAGTTTTCAAGTATTGCGATGCTGGTTGTAAATTCTCCTGCATATACATTTTTAACTGAAGTCTCCATAGGATAATAATTTATAAGTGGGTGTGAAATTTGACATCACTAACAAAATGATGTGACATCACTTTGATTACTGATAATAATGTCTCTAACTCTCTATGCGCTTTCAAAGAGCTTTGGAACTTATTACCCTAGCTTTAGCTCCGGCAGCCGTTATCAGCGCACAGTGCATTTAAAGGAATAATCCTACCAGGTTCCCATTTATCTCACCTGGGTGGAGTGTGGCAAAAGTAGATTAATGTCTTCGCAAAGGACATTAGTGCCGCTGCGGGACTCGAACCACGAACCTCGTGATCCACAGTCCGGTGACATATCCACTCGATCACGACACCTCTATTGTTGCAATAAAAACTGGCCAAAGTCTATGAAGAAGATGTGATGGCCCATTAGGTCCCGGATTCGAAACTAAGTCATTGTCTTAGTGCTCGTTGGTAAGGCATCAATCCTCTTTACCAAGTCCCTCGGAGAGTACATAAAGCCGTCGGTCCCCTGGTTGCTTACTTAGACATGCTTTCTTGACATTCAGGTAAAACTAACCATCAAACTACAGCAAAGTTTGAACACATGTTATGACTAGAAACATAAGAACCAAAATACATTTTATCTAAGAATAAATAGCACCTTGTATGAAAATTCAGAAATGTATAAAATTACAGTAAATATCCATTGGTCACTCAAAACACCTACACACTGTGCTAAATGTGCATTATGATAGGAGTATAAATAAATACATGTATACAAATGTTAAAGACCCTATCGGAATTAAAAAATGAGACAGATGAATCATAGATAGATAAATATATCAACGGAAAGCTTATAAGCCATAAATTACAATAATATTGATTACAAATGTAAATGCTATTTAGTTTTTTTGTCAGAGGAGTAACTGCTCACTGAAAAATTAAAATCTAAAGCTTTGAAAATCGGGAGTTGTCAACCTAAAAACTAGCAATCGACTTGATGACATCATCTTATGTGGAGTACGCATTTTCATAATAACTTTGTATTAATCAAGCAAGGCTCATCTTTTCAGCTATATAGGCGAGCCGACCGGGTTCACATCTTATGTCGTTATCGTAATAGCAGCAAATTTGACCCGTTGACCAGTAATTAGGAGCGATGTTGAAAATGAGACTTTAATTTGCTTTTGTGCAATACTGAAAGTGACAACATTTTGATAGATTTATATTGTATTTGTATTCTACGTTTATTCAGCTTTCCATTGATATAAAGTTGTATTTTCATTGGAGAGGGTCCTAAGTGTAATGCTCTAAAATAAATAAAGATTAAGCTAAGAAAGTGTCATTTACATACGGTATACCTCATCTGATTTTATTATGCATTATTACAATTTTAAAAGACAAAATGGAAAGATTCCAAAATTATAATGGTACATGTAATTCCTTATTTTTCTCCATTACCAGTATACTTAAATCAAAGAACTTTAAATCATTACAGCTTTAACAATCAAAATTCTATGAAAAGGCTTAACTTCAGAGGTATTAACAAAGACATTTACGTGCTCAGTATAAAAATAACCCGTTTATAAAATAGGAACTGAAACTCACCACACATGATGAGGAAAAGTCATTGAATAAGTATTGAGGCCTGCTCGGTCATTATAAAGCCACTTTCAAGAAAATTGCTCCTTTGAAATATTTCAAACTCATGATGTTAGCATGCAAATGTAGATCTTTAAAAACTATTTGTAAGACTAATCTTAAAACATTATCCTGTAAGTACTGTGCCTGTTCTGATCATCCATATGTATTTGGACCATAAAAATATAATATATTGCTTTTAATTCCTAAGATCTACATTCATATATAGTTGCCTAGACACCAAATTCAATAAACTAACAATTCTGAATTACAAATTATTTTATTCTCCCCGTATCTTTTATTTAAAAAGAATATTTCAAATATGAAATATGAGTACGGTACGTAGCTCTAACTTTCCTTCGGTTCTGGTTTGAGATGTGCCGGGACATACCGCCAAATCTGTAGGAGGTACAAACAAAATGAAAAAGAAAACACAAAATATTGGATAATACATTCTTTTGTACTGTACATGGTCTTTTCAGTATACTTGGGTAGCAGTTTATAAATGTGGAATTTAATACATGTAGGTAGATTATGCTCCAAACCTTTAAATTGCATATCTTTTACACTCCAGCTCTGATTAATTAATTGTTCCATGTGTACACACACTTCAAAACATGTTTGATAAGAATGTTTTTTTTATGATTCTTATAATACTGCAGTAGCAATATATAATAGGATACCGAAATGCTAACGTCATATTTGCTTGTTGTCTCGGCCACTGGTTCCAATAAACAGAGCCTGTGCATGAGGTTCACCGCGACATCATTCAAGCAACGGGCTGGGGCAGGGCAAAAACAATTTTTGGTGCTGATGTGATCACAACGCCATTAGGGACTTTTAGATTTGCACGACGAGAACGTGGACTGCGACATGTAACATGCTTTTAAGGCAATATGACCTCCTTTAAGGCACTGGCAGTGACGTCAAATTTCCTTAAAAGGATGTCACACGAGCAGTCCATGTTTTCGTCGTGCAAATCTAAAAGTCCCTATTGTTTCGAACCAGCTATCTCGACACTTTGGCTAATATGACGTCACACTTCGGTGCTCTATCCTTGGCATGTATATCATTTTACTCAGTATTGTTTTTAGTTTATGGTCAGTGAATTGCCATTCAATTCATTGCAAGGCATTATTTCATAATGTGGTTGGATTTGAATCTGAATCAACAGCAAGTCTGCCAATCAATCGCAAGTTTGCAGTCTCCTATCTCTTATGTACATAGCTGCATTTGATATCAATCACAAAGAAGTTGTGATTAATCTCAACTGTTTAAAAGACCGAGGCCCAGATCTTCGGCCACATAGTCTTGCCTCAAGTTGTATGTAATCTGCATAATGGTTTGGGGCAAGCGTTAAAAAAAAATCAAAAAAAAAAAAAAAAAAAAAAAAATCAAAAATCAAAAATCAAAAACCAAATTTTCTTCAACTATAGTAGCTTTTGTTTCTTAAAGGTATAGACCAGTTCTGGTCATGCGATTCCATTGTGAAAGAAACATTGTGGAATTGATCAGAAAAGTTCGATCATCTAGTAGTATATAAGTATTGGTGTGCACTGCAAGGTTCTGGAATCATCAAAATGATAACAAAATTTGGCCCAGTCTTGGTAAAGTTACAAGCACTGTACACATAAAGATGTACCGTATATGGGACTACCCTATCTTGAATATATTTTTGAATAATTTGATATGTCCCTAAATTGCCATGATAACATAATTATTTCATAGTTATATTGTTCTTTATTAACTATGTTATTACATTTTAGTGACAGATTAAATTATTCAAAAACATATTCATATGGACACTTGGCATTCCATACTTAGTCGGAGGATTAAACCATGGACTAAAGTTCGAGAATACCACTCTATGCATTTATCTCACCACTACTCAATTCTCAATTATTCATCCCCTCCCCAACTTACCCTTCCATCTTCCATCCATTTGTCATCCTCTTTCTTCCATCTCGTTTCCACCAGTCCCTTCTTCCGGAGGAGGGATGCGGCCACTTCCCTGAAGAAGAGGGAAGTGAGGGCAAGCTCATGGAGTGACTCCCGGTCCAGGTGGAGCCCAATCTCCTGGAGGATCCCGTAAGGCAGGAGACTGAGTTGCACAGACTCATCTGGGGATGGCAAGACGGGGGGAGGGGATAGAGGAGGAGGGGAGAGGGGAGCAGTTGTTTCGTCTTCCCCGTCTTGCTCCCCTTCTCCTTCCATCCCCTGATCCCTCAGCTGCCAGGGCACGGTGTGGAGAGGATCCTGAGGCTTGGGCGTTGAGGAGGACTTTACATCTTCTAAACATATACAATATAAGAAAAACTATATATTATAAAAAAAAATGTAGATAGATTAGCAACACTTGGGGACACTTTGCATAAAAATAGTGACTGTGTATGTCCACAATATGCCCCACCTATTAAATTAATAGTCAATCGTGTTTGGCCACCACATAATATTTGACCTTTCGAATCCAAAATTTAATCAGTCTAGCCTGACAAGATAAAAAGCATTTGAGCCAAATTCGTACAAAATATCTTCAGTTGGTCTTTACAGTAACCTAATACTGTACTGAGATCTGTTACACTCTCTAAACCCTTTGATCTTTGGACTCTGGCCTCTTGACCCTAAAAGTTCTAAATCATAGTGCCATATTTCATGGTTAATATTCAAACAGAATCTGCTTCACAACATACAGGGTATAAAACCTAAAAACAACATGCAACCATGTTGAATTTCAAGAAGAATGCAGACTTTTCATAATTTGCATCATTCCAACCTTGCACTTACAGCAGGTAAAAAGTAAACTTAGGAAAACTAATTTACTTCTCTCACCATCTTTCTTCCCTGCACTGTCCGTTTCATCCTTCTTCTCAACCACGCCATCCCCTTCTTTCTCCTCTTTGCCCTTTGACCCGACCTCTGCTGACCCCGCTGTTTCCTCTGCAGGTTCTGCAGGTTCCATCAAGGCTCTACGTTGCTCCTTCCACACCCCAAGGACAGGCTCACACTCATGATCATGACCATCACAAAAGTGACTCTCATAGTCATCTCTTGCTATCGACTATTCAAGAGAAGATACAAAAACAGAGATTGCAAGAGACAACCACAGTATACATGTTATAACCACTACACATGTAACCATTACACTAAACCTGACCCTAACCCGAACCTTTACTATAATTCTGTTCCTAATCATAATTCTGATGCTGACCCTAACCCTAACTAACCAAAAACACTGATCCTAACCTGAACCTTGACTAATCCCTATCCATAATCCTGACCATGAACCTATCTTACTGGTTCCAGTTGCACTTAATTCTTATTTGTTGAACTGGAAATGAGTACCCATAACAATATTTTCCAGTTCGGCAATTGGTTTCAACTGGAAATTTTGTATTCCAATTGAAACCAGTTGGAGAATTCAACTGCATGGTTTCAATTGGATTTTGGTCCTGGGTAACCTAAACCTTGACTGATCCTGATCCTGATCCTGACCCTAACTAACCAAAAACCATGATCCTAACCTGAACCTTGACTAATCTCTCACCATAATCCTGACCCTGATCCTAACCCAAACCTTTACTTATCCCTAACCACAATACGAACCATGATCCTAACCTGAACCTTGATTAATCCCCAACCATAATCTGGTGGCTTAATGTCTAATCCCACTTTGTCTATACATCTTATTTATCCTCTATCCATGCCACCTAAGCAATTTGTTTGATTTTTCACATAGTCTCTTGATGATTCTGTCTAATGACCAGTTTGATAGTTTGATTATAATGTACATGCACATGTACACATGTAAATCAAGGGAGTGTTTCCTTAAAGACCTCATCTAATATTAAACTTCACAATGTTGGAACACATTTTTCAATGAATGTCATCTATTTTCATCTAACATATTTTTCTCAAGTATTGTTCAATTCGTGGCTTGGACTAGCCTGACAGTCATCTCTGTATCCACAAACCCAATTTAAATGAAATGATGACAATTAATGGTCATCTTCTTGGAGCCAACATCAAATTTTGTAGAAATTTGCAGGAATTATGAATATGTCATGTATGTCCTATCTGTGAAATTTAAACGATAGTAGTATCCTAATATTCAAATTATGCAAGGAAACCGTTTACTTGCTAGACTTCATTGTCAGACACTATTGAGTGACTGACTGGCTTTTTATCTTCTTTGGTAATAACATACATACAATGAGCTGTAAAGGGTACATGAGCATGTTGTCTACATCAATAACTCACTTCTTGTGATGGCCAAGATTAAACTGATTGAATCTTTGCGCAGCATAAAACGTATGACCATTCGGTACAATTACTTACTGGCTCTATAGCTCTTAAGTCGATTCGACAACTAATAGTCGTCATTTTCCCAATTAAAGACATTTTCAAGCTCCCTTTTTTGTAGGGAAGTTCTAAACTAGTATTATCTTTGAAATGCCATTGGAATTTAACCTTTTCATATTTTTGGCCTGCAAATGGGACATAAAAGTAGTACCTTTAAGAACAGAGTTCATCCTGACTTGGGCCCCTACATAAATTGAAATTACATTTCCATACCTGGCCACACATGATGACATGGGCAGGGCACTGCTGGAGATGGTTGATGCATAGAGCGCGTCTCATTATCGCCTGGCAACCAAGTTTAGAGTTCAGACACTCTGTCTTGACATTTTGACATAACTCGCTGTGGTCATCGGCCTTGCACTGATGAAAATAGGCACCACACCTGTTTAAAAAAAAAAGTTTTATTTATGGCAAATTTGTCATTGCTGATAGGAATCAACTAACCGGCCACTGTAGTTACTGTGGTTTTTTTTACAAATCAGAAAAAAAAAAAATCTACCTAAGATTAGTTTTGACACATCAGAATATTCTACTTTTTACCTCAATACTTTATAGGGTAACCTTGTTTTTCTCCTGGATAGGTGACATGTAACCAGAATATAGGTCACAGGGTTCACAACCCTGCAATGGTACTAATGTCCTTTGGCAAGCCATTAATTTACATTGCCATTCTCAACCCAGGTCAAGTTAAGGGTATGGCAGGAAGAAATTCCATAAAAGCTGGAGCACGTTAATGACAGCTCAGATAAAGCTGGAGTATAAACAGTATTACGGTAAGTGCTTTGTATCCTTAAAAAAAAGAAATGTTTTGTCAATATTATTGTAGACAACACAGTAATGGGTTCAAGACATCAATATAAACTTGTCTCTCTCTCCACCCAGGTGAAGTACCCGGTGTGTTGAATTATCGACTCACTTGAATGGGCAGTAGATATGTGCACATGATACCCCCGGTTGAACAGAGACGTTACAGCGTTTGGTGATGCAGTTCAGACAGTGGGGATGTAAACCAAGCTCTTCTAATGTCGGATCTCTCAACTCATCTGTGAAAAAAAAGTAGATACAAAGAATACAGAAGGCAATAAATGACTGTTTTGAGATCAATAAAACAAGGAACACTGCAAAATCATTATTGTTTAACCATGAATAAATTCAGAGAATAGTATCAATTAACTGCTAATTTTTAATGATTCAAGGAGATGACAAGGCATTTCAAAGTTTTTTTAAGCCAAAAGGTTAATAAATGCGAGGCTTTTATGTTATGGTTTTTTAAAGTGATTATCTGCCTGCCACTACACATTCAAAAAGTTTTTATGAAGACGCACTTGTTTTCAGGAGCTTTTGAATAGATTATTTGTTGTTGTGTGTCTGACACTGTAAGAAGTTTTGTTTTCATCACAGCACAGTATATAGTAGCTGCACTATATTTGATCTAATTATTATTTATTATTAACTTAAATGTTTTCTTTCTCTCTCTCTCCAGGCATATGTGGATTTATGTACATGCATGGATCTCCTCTTTCTCTATCTCTCTCTCTCTCTCTCTCTCTCTCTCAACATCCCTTCTCTTCTAAATTTCATTGCAGAGCTTGTGCCTTTGCTGCTCTAACTCAATTTTCATTTCTTTTTCCTCGTGTTAATATTCCTTCAAATGTATTGTTGTTATGTACATTAATGTACATTTCAAAACTACATATGCAAGATAATATAACATCTTATTTTCACAACTTAGGATTTTAGGATTAGGCCCTTCTGCTTATCTGTAACTAATTACACTCAGCTGTTCTATAAGAATCTGTTTTGGAATGTGCACCTGTTACTTTAAATACTACTCCAGATCATACAGATGGCAAAATCACAGCCCGCTGACTTACTTGCAAGCGCCTACATGTACACACAAAATATGACTTTCTTTTTTCATTGTAATTGTAAGCCGATACTGTGACTCTTCCTCCTCCTCCTCCTCCTCCTCCTCCTCCTCCTCCTCCTCCTCCTCCTTCTCCTCCTCCTCCTCCTCTTATTCCTCTTCCTCCTCCTCCTCCTCCTCCTCCTCCTCCTCCTCCTCCTCCTCCTCCTTCTCCTCCTCCTCCTCTTCTTCCTCTTCCTCCTCCTCTTCCTCCTCCTCTTCCTCCTCCTCCTCCTCCTCCTCCTCCTCCTCCTCCTCCTCCTCCTGATCCTCCTCCTCCTCCTCTTCTTCTTCTTCTTCCTACTCTTCCTTCTTCTCTTCTTGTTTCCTTCCTCCTCTTCCTTCTCCTTCATAATCTCCTTTTTCCTCCTAGTAATACAATCATCCATATATTTTGTTCACATTGTCACTGTGCAGCTAGCTATGCTAGCTCATTAAAATAAAAAATCTTGTTTTTGTTTGTACTTGATGTAGAAAGTTTCTTCTTCTTCTTCCAGTGCAGTGCAAGTGCTGCTTCAAAGTTCAAGGTGATGACTTTCACATATCCCGTTATTCCACATTTTAGTTTATGCTGATATTATTTTTTAAGTAATAATTTTCTTTTTAGTTTGTCTTTAGAAAATGAATTTCTCCTTCCCACACTGCAACTTACAAACATGACAAAGTTCAACTTCTACTTGAGGTTCTATTGATAGTTGTTCTAACTTCTAGATCTAGAATCTAGACTAGAGTCAACTCAGTCGAGTAATTGACACCTAATTAGTTGTTAAATTCCTTCTTTTTTTAAATTCTAGGCATAGATCGATCTAGTTCGACAAAAGTACTAGATCTACATGTAGTATATAGAGGACAATATATCTAGCTTTCATTAGTGTTTCATTAACTCTCCTCCAGTTCCATGACATTCTCATGAGTTTCCCTTCCCATAATCCCATTTCATCCTTCACTCTCGGCAGTCGAGGCCCGCCCGCCTCGCCTCGCCTCGTCCGATCCGAGGCGAGGCGCCTCTTACTATTTTCAGTATTCACTGGAATGCCGGATCATGATCATGCAGACTTTCAAGTTGCACAATCAAAATCAAAGATGTATAAGTCGTACTCGTCGATAAACATTATACCCAGTACTGCAATTATTACCTTGTCCTTGGATTTCCATGATAACAAAGTTCCCTTCTGATCTGTATCTGTTTCAGAGATGAACAATATTAATCGCCATTCCAGGAAAATGTAAACAACTCATAAAATGAATGGAGGTATTTCATAGCAGGATAATTTCTAGCTTGATTTCAGCCTTACATATTTATATCATAGCTATTTTGTACAAAAACTATAGACTCTAGAGTTAAATAAACTAATGTGATATTTTAAAAAAAAAATAACAATTTTAAGTTTTATATGATATATATTATATTAATACATTATTTTCAAACAAAGAAATAATAAAGTTTCTAAAATGAGAATATTAAAAAAGCCCCGCCCATGCAGCTGAGAGGAAAAGAATCTCGCCCAAATCTTGGCTAAAAATCGCCAACACGTTTTTAGCCTATATCAATAATAAAAAACATTTTAATAGTAGTTTCCTATATAAGTATAAAATTTGTCCGACTATTTCAATTTTTTTTAGATACATGTTATGTATAAAAAAAATTATTGTGTTATAAATCTATTTTGGTTTAAAATATTGTGAAATAAATATTAACGTTATATCTTGTTTCCTTTATTAAAACTAGCATAAACAAGAGTCAGCTGTGTACTGTTTACATTATGCACAAGCCGTGTGTATTGTACACGTGGACAGTGTATGAAGTGTCTGATATGCCATTGTCACTGCCATGCAAGCAGCAGCAGCATGCACACAGCACAGAACAGAACAGATTTCAGCACAAAATTTGAGCTTTAAATAGTCGACAATTATGTTGTCTTGTCGATGTCACATCAATACTCATGCTGCTAACATGATCTTAGAATTGCTCGTCAGGATATTCCTCTTGATTGCCTTCTTGTAAGTTTATTTTCCATGAAGTTTTAATTTTCATTGTCACTGATCATGATTGTTAATCAAAACTTGAAAAAGACATACAGGTAGGGGTCTAGACCGAATTTTCCGTCTCTTTCGTTCGTTAGCCTCTTATTGGGGTAGGGTCGGCCGGCTCTCTCTTTAGAGACGGAAACCGTCTATACACATTCCCTTGATAACGCCACGGCCATTTCAGGTCGTAGCGTTTTGCCCCCAAAATCCCCCAAAATGTCATTTTACCTCGTGTATATCCAAATGTAAATTAGGCCTAGGCTATAATACATCGGTTCCACTTACTAACTTGATTGAAATAATCCGTTTAATGGTCCCTTTTAAGGAAATTATGGGTCAAAATCGACATCCATGTTGAAAATCTTGCAAGCCGTGTATAAACTCTCGCTGCCGGAGTCATCTAAATCAATCACATCCCTTCTAGTCTACGCCGAAGGCAAAATGATTACGAAGGAAAAACTGTGATAACGCCATTACGAACGTGTAGATAGCGCACAGTTTTTCTGTACACAAGGTAAAATGACATTTTGGGGGATTTTGGGGGCAAAACGCTACGACCTGAAATGGCCGTGGCTTTATCAAGGGAATGTGTATAGGCCTAGACGGTTTCCGTCTCTAAAGAGAGAGCCGGCCGACCCTACCCCAATAAGAGGCTAACGAACGAAAGAGACGGAAAATTCGGTCTAGTAGGGGTCTAGATCTAGGCTAGATCTAGACTAGTCTAGGCTTAATTGTAATGTTTTAAATTAAACTTTAATAATTTTTTCGAATTAAATGTTAAACTTAACTTGGTAGTAATTTTATACATTTTGTGCAATTCATTCCTTTTTTTATTTGTTATTTATTTGATTTCCATGTAGATCTTCATGTAGATCTATAAATGAAACAGAAATGACAACACAGGGCATAACATGAAACTAAAAGAGTTACAAATACAAGACAGTCACAGTAAAAGTGCCACCAGCAGACGCCTGAGGATTACCTAAAAGAATTTCCATTCTGTCATGAGGTTCTCCAAGTCCGCTGTTGTAACATTTGAATAGATTTAAGAAGTATTAATAACATAACATAATTCAATTTAATGTAATTCGTAATACCTCAAGGGATCAGAGATCTGTGTGAAGAGACCTCCACACCACCCTGCCTGAACGCGCCAAGAAGCTTATACTCCCTGAACAGCCAGTCACTGAAAAGGCGCTACGACACAAGTGCTAGAATTCAATCCAATTCAATTCAACTAATTAATTAAATTTAAGCAAACTAGCGAAACCGAACCGAACCAAATTCCAACACCTACATCAGAATGCCCTCTCAATGGGAGACTGCTCAAAGAGCAAACCTCTCAGCGCACTAAAACGAGGCAACATACAGTAGAGGTCCCCACATACAGATCCCTGATCCCTTCAGGTAAAGTATCCCAGAACCTAGGAAAGGCATAAAAGCATGAAAATTTCAGAGCATTTGATCTTGCAAGTTGATGGTTGAAGAAAAGACTATGGGAGCGTCTTGAACTGGGAATGGGAAGAACATAATCTGGTACATCATGACAACTACGGATGCATTTTACAACAAATGACATGTCAAATAAATGAGACGATTCGTGGTGAAGCTAGCTTCTCAAGACGTTGCTCGTATGTACATGTAAGAGTGTTAGAAATGTGGTATGGAAAACAAGAACGAGTAAATCGTCTTTGAATAGCCCCAAGAGCTAAGATATGGTTTTTTGGTGTGGCAACCAAACTGGGATATTGTATTCAATCAATGACAGGTCGATCTACATATGGTACAGTATAATCGTTGAAGGACGGTTGTATTTCTGGAGTTTGCAATCCGACGCACATCAGGAAATCATTGATTGGATATGTTTACTCCAAGAGAGATCACTTGAGAATATTAATCCCAAGATGTTTGTGTGAGGTAACCGCATTAACAAAAGTTAATTGGCAGTTTGGCATGATTGCTGATTGCTCTGATGTAAATTTGTGTGTTCCAAAAATAGAACATCTAGTATTAGTAATTACTGTAAGTGCAGAAGCTCTCTTTTTAATTATATAAATTATAATGTGCACTTTTCTATGACTGTCAGTGTACAACACTGCAACTTCTATTCTAAATTAATTCTGCATTTGTCATTTTTGTGTTTGGCTTTTGGTTTGCTCTTTTCACCTCAATCGTCATCGTCGTTCTACCAATTCCTACGAGTCATGACTATGACCCTTTGTGACCCTATTTATTACAATCTCTGCAATAGTCCACCAGCACAACCAGTAAAGAAGATTGTGTTGCAACTTTTGCTATATAATTGTTAACTCAAAAGTCAGCAGTACCAATTTATCGTCTTGAATACACCACAAAATAGCTATTTTTCTTGTGTCAAAATGGGAAAGTTTGATAGATCTATCCATCTGATGTCAGAGGGATAGATCTTTCAAACCAAGATGAGATACAGACTTATTAACATGCCTTTGGTTTACTTATTTTTTTGTCTTTCAATTAAACAGAATTACTGAGGAGCTTGACCCATTTCAACGAGTAATACAGCCAGAAGAGATGTGGTTATACAAGAACCCCCACTCTGTGCACAGCACTGTAACGACAAGGATGCTATTTGTAAGTACATGCAACCATGTAAAAGATATTTCTAAAGTTACCCTTTATGAGGTCAAAGGTCAGAGATAAGAAATAGAAGAGATGTGCATGGTTTAATATACGAGAACCCCCACTCTCTGCACAGTATTGTAACAATTAGGATGTTATTTGTGACTAGGCCTGTAACCAATCATCGGATCGGGGGCCGTCTTGAGCCGATCAGGTGAGCATGCCTACATTATAATCCAAGATAGCGGCCCACATGTTTTGCCTCTTCTCTTAGACCAATATTATGAATTTCATGGTCATGAAAAGGCACTGAATATCAACAAACATGGTCTACAACTCCAAATGACAAAATAATCCCAGCTATGCATTTTGTAAAGCATTTGATAGCCCAAGACTTAAAAATTTTCAGCATTAAAAAGAATAATAAAAAAAAAAATGCCAGTAATTTTTGCCGATACCGATCACAGGTGCGAGGGTGTCGCTCTGATCTTCCGATCTGATCAAAGCTCCAACTTACAGGGTTATTTGTAACTATAAGTCCATGCCACAGTTCGTAACATATTTCTAAATTTAATCTTTATGAGGTCAAAGGTCAGAGATTTTTAAAAAATGGAAGAGAAATGGTTATTATACAAGAACCTCCACTCTGCACAGTATTGTAACAACTAGGATGTTATTTTTAAGTCTATGCCTTGTTGTGTAACATCTCTCTCTCTCTCTCTCTCTCTCCCCCGCAGAGCTCTGCTATCCTGGTGCCGCTTTGTGTTATAACAATCTTTAGTCTTATGAGGAAAGATAGACTTGATTTTCTACATGCTGTTTTAGGTAAACTTCATTGTTTTATGACCCTATAAATTTACCTTTGAACTAACATTTTTGTGAAGTGATATACTGTTTTATTTTACGAATAATATTGAGCCGACTAAATTATTACATTAAAAATATATATATACTGTACATGTATGTAAAACGCATTCCCCAAAGAAAGTTTTCACTTCAGAAGATTAAATATCGATGTTTGTGGAGAGTGAATTATGTTAATGTTTATTGACAGTTGATCGTGACGTAATTGTTGCAATAATAATAATAGTAATACATGTATAAGAGGCTCTTTCCCTTTTTTACCCCCGAGAATCAGGTTAAGACCCAGTAAGGTTGATGGAAGGTGTGTGTGTGTGTTTGTGTTTTTTTTTTGTTGGGACGGTGGTCGGTGGGTATGTTTATTATTCATGTTTCATATTTCTTGGAGTTGAAATAATTATAAATTCGTAAATTTGCAAGAGGCTTTATGCATTAATTGCTCAGAACACTTCATTAAAGCTTTTTTGTTGCTGTATACAAAACTCATGATTGTTTGTACATGTATGCTTTCAATGCTTTGCTTGCATTTTATTGACTTAAGTGTTTTCATGTATTTTATCATTTCATCTTACAGCTTGCTCGCTTGCTGAGCTTTTAGATGGAGTGCTCACCAATAGTATCAAGTTAATTATTGCAAGGTAAGGAATGGAAAAAATTCTTCAGAGTGAGAGAGAGCTTTCGATTTAAGTATTAAGAACTGGTTACAATGATGAGCACTGAATGCTGATGCTTCTTCTAGAGTTATTATCCTGGCTTTTGCTGAGCATCCCTGATGAGGTCCACAAGCAATCAAGGAATTCCTTCCTACCAGGGCCCCCGTGGCATAAAACTTACCATTGATGGTATTTTGTCATCAATGGCAACTACCGTATTTGCCGGCGATAAGGCCGCAGTATTTTCGGAAGAAAAAATATCAAAAAGTCGGGGTGCGGCCTTTGCGCAACAACAACAAAATTCAGCAGTCAAAACAGAACGTCCATTTGAACATATGGGACTAGGATGACTAGACAATGGTACAGGACAATTCTAGAATAACTCCACACAACTTACTGACAAGTTTATGTTGCATTGTTGACATGAAGATGAAAATAAACAGCATAACTTATTTTTATAATAAAATCTGCCGATAGATCTAGATCTAAGTCTGTACCATTGCATTGTCAAAAAGTAAAAGAAGGGACAGACCGTTACAGGTCGAAGTCGCAATTCCGGATTACACCGCACATCGTGGTAGGGGTATATGTAGGATACCAACTCTGCGTGCGATACAGTACTAGATTTAAAATCTTTAAAGATCTGCTAAATTACGATCATTTTTGAGGTAAACTTCTTGAAAATTTATAAGAAGATTGATGAATTTGGTATCAAAAATAGTGTTCTACAAGAAAATTACGATTATTTTTGTTTGGTCCTTTTTTTTTTCCTCTATGAAATGTCAAAGTTGAGGGTTCGGCTTATACGGCGCTGGTTACAGGGCTCAACAGCCAATCAAAATCAAGGTTTCCATGGTAGTTACCAAAGAGTACCGAAGCTGTGACGTCATAAAAATCTATTTTCAGAATTTCTCAATTTTTTCTTCATTTTCCGAAGGAGCATCAAAAATAATGTCAAAATGTCGAAAACCAATTGAATATGTTAAGTATTGGCTGAGATATGACCATCTGAATAAATATATGTCCTATGGGAACTCAGTGTTATATGCTCTGGCTCCTAACCATGGTCCATGGTCAGTTCATGAATAACAAATGCCTGACATTTTTCATTGTTTTCTTCACATCGCAGACCACGGCCAGACTTCTTTTATCGCTGTTTTCCCAATGGCGTGATGACAACAGATCTCAAATGTACAGGAGATTTAGATACAATCAATGAAGGCAGAAAGAGCTTTCCTAGTGGACATTCCTCATGTGAGTAGGATTTTTAGTTACCATATTTTTGGCTTCCTTCCTGCAGCTGTTCTTTATGCAGGGAAAATCAGAATTTGACTGAATTTCAGTAATCCATCGAAAACCAATCTGGTACCATGACCCAAATTGCATTATCAGTGTGTAATATACCAACTCATTGCCATCAGCTTTGATGGATATAGGTAACTCGTACAATAGAGGTCAAACACACAAACTTGCTCTTTTTGTGTTTTTGATTCTCTTCTGTCAAATTGACATTAAAAAAACATATACCCCGGTACCTTGCCAGCAATGTGATGGTTACCGTATGTCTTTTCTTTTGACTTTTTGTTTCGTGCAGTTTCATTTTGTGCCTTTGGCTTCACTGCCTTTTACCTGGCTGGAAAACTACACACATTTGAGAGTCGAGGTCGAGGCGTAGGCTGGAGGATACTGGTAACATTAGCTCCCCTATATGTTGCCCTCATGGTTGCGTTATCAAGAACAGCTGACTACAGGCATCACTATGAAGGTAAATTAATGTTGTGCATATAGATGATATACATAGCATAATACTGAAGGTCATTAGAGAGCAACAGTGATGGTTGTGGAGCCAATAAGTACTGAAGCTTTCTTGCGAGATAAATATTATCAGTAAGAGATGGGGGGGGGGGGGTTGAGGCGGGGCGTAGGGCAACACATGCCCCACTCAAGTAAAAATCTGGTTACATTTAATTAACACATGTAACCCCCACCCACAATGGCACCAAATTGAGATTTTTAATTTTTTTTTTTTTTTGGGGGGGGGGGGGTCAGAGATGTACAAGGATCATATAATAAATCAGTTTTTTATCTCAAGATTGGCAACATTAATATACATTTATGTATTTCTTACGCTTTTATTTCTCTGACAAAGTCTTGTGCATCTTAAATCAAACTTTACCAATATTGGGGTAAAAATTGCCAATTTATCACTGAAAACATATGGCTAATTTTGAATGTACTATAAATAGAATTAGTAGTTATTTCAATTTAAAGGTCTGTAACTGTGTTCTCTCATAGATGTTATAGCTGGGTCTCTACTTGGTCTTGCCGTTGCCTATGCCATCTATCGCCAGTACTTCCCAGCCCTCACCCACGCCACGTGTGACAAATCTTACGCAAGGCTTTACGCCCTCAGAGACGCAATGTCATTACAAGAGTACAACACAAACAATGCAATAAGTACACGTATACCACTGGACAGTGTTAAAACTGTTTGATGAATGGAGCATGCTCTAGACTCCAGTATTACAGAAGATATGGATGTATTGATTTTCGAAAGACATGCAACGATCAAAGATCACGTACGTCTGGAATCATGTAGTCCCTTTTGTTTACAAAAAATGGTCCACGTCAAGAAGGAAATGCGGGCTTACTTCATTCCATTGGGTCTGGTTGGCGGGTTACATGAACTTTTGTTGATTATTGAGCCCTAATTCTGAAAGGGTCGGATGAAAATGTTTGTGAAATAATGTACACCCTTCAATTTCACCAAAGTGTAGAGTCCAGTTTACCCAACACTTTCTCTACAGCAAATCTACAAAAAGTTGTGTCTCAACCCGACACTTTTTAGTACAAGATAAATAATCAAAAGGGTTCATAAAAAAAGCTAGTGATCTACATGTACACTTCGTCATTGTATTGGCACATTTTCGCAAATGTAATTGTAATGATACATGTACTGTTAAATCTGCATAGTACAGATACAAGTTGTATTTTACTGCCGGTATTTACAAAGTACTGGGACTAAAGAGAAGGACCATCTGTTAGATGATTTAATGCAGTTCTCTCTTCACAATCAGTGTTTTGGTATTAGCTTTTCACTTGCCGTGATGCAAGCCTCTTCAAACCTCTGTCGTATATCTACCGTATTGTCGTACTGCTATAACAAATTGTGGTTGTGGAGAAAGAACTACTTTTCAAAGTGCTGGGACCAGGCTAATATTAATATTCCGCTTATATAGCTCTTAATACAAATGTCTCTAAGCGCTTTACAGATATACTATTACCCCGGTCATTGGATTCAGTGCTTCCGCGCACACACTGTCTGCACAATCTCCACTCCCTGGGGAGCATTCCAGCCAGGCGTTACTTGACGCTTAAAAACTGTTTGACCAACAATGGCAGTCGCATCCTACCGGGTACCCATTTTAACACCTGGGTGGAGAGTAGCAAGTGTAGGTTAATATCTTGTCAAAGGATATTAGTGCTGTGTCGGGATTCGAACCCTCGACCTTCGCATCTCCAGTCAAGCGCCTTATACAGATATACATTGAACAACTCAATTCTTGACCAAAGTTTGTCACTTCATTTGGACTTTGCAGGAATTATGAATATGTCATGTATGTCCTATCTGTGAAATTTAAATGTAGGCAGTGTCCTAATAATCAAATTATGAAAGGAAACCTGTTTACTTGCTAGACTTCACCGTCAGACACTATTGAGTGACCGACTGGCTTTTTTCTTCTTTGGTAATAACATTGTATAAAATGAGCTGTAAAGGGTACATGAGCATTTGTCTACATCATTAACCCACTTCTTGTAATGGCCAAAATTAAACTGATTGAATCTTTGCGCAGCATAAAACCTACACCATTCGATACAAAGGTCTGAAAATCAAGACTATTACTTATTGGCTCTATAGCTCCCAAGTCGATTTGACAACTAATAGTCGTTATTTTCCCATATAAAGACATTTTCAACCCCCCTTTTTTTAGGGAAGTTCTTAATTATCGTAGTATTATCTTTCAAATGCCGTTGGAATTTAACCTTTTCATTTTTTCTTGCCTGCAAATGGGACATACCGGTATTACCTTTAATGCATATTAGTTTGTACAATTTATTTATGCAATTTATACGTTTGCATTTTGTTTATAAATTTCTTTGATAGAAATGATAACATCAACATACATTAATGAAACAACATAAGAAAAGTGTTACTTATTATTCATTTTTATTTTCCTTCATTCAGATATTGTCTGTATTTTTGTCATTTTTTAAAACCAGTTTATACAAACAAATATTTCACTATTTAATTAAGGTGATTTGCCTACCGGTATACAATGTATACTAAGTTGTATTTATGATTATCCTTCTGAACGCTTGTATTATTACATATTTATTTTTTTAAAGAGCGATTTCAGTTGTGTAACATGCTCTCAATACATGTAGTGTGCCCACAATCATTTTTTAAATGATAAAATAAATGAGAAAAATCAAAATAATATATTCTTGTTCATCTCTGCTTGTTCTAGAATTGATGAGACCTATACCAAAATACAAATGTACATGTGAAGTAATTCTGTTCAAAATATATGTATAGTACTTCTCTTACATATGAACGTCCTATTCCAAGAAGTAAATAAGTTAGGGGAAAACAAAACGTACCAATACCCTTTTTCATGCTACAACTTCATATACTACATGTACATGATGACTGAAGATGTAACGGAATTGCAAAACAAAGACACTGTAGCTTCATTCATTGTGAGTAAAAGGATACTTTAAAGGTAAACACCAGTTCTCGTCATGCGATTGCATTGTGAAAGAAATGTTGTGGAATCGATCAGAAAAGGTTGATCCTCTAGCGTATAAGTATTGTTGTGTACTGCAAGGTTCTGGAATCATCAAAATGATAAGAAATTTGGCCCAGTCTTGGTAAAGTTACAAGCACTGTACACAGAAAGATATATATGGGACTACGCAACACATGCGCGATATCTATCCGGTCCGAATAGATTTAATAATTTACCAAATATATCAATTAGTAGGCGGTGTCCCGGCAAAATTTGTATCATCAAGTAATAGTCAAAACATATTCTTTTACATGATTGGTAATAAGAGCTTTCACTTCACTTTTTTGAGAGGGGGGGGGGGGGCGTTTCCAAAACTGGTCTTTTACCTTTAAAGTGTGTTAATGAAATAGAAAATAGCATATCACAATATTACATCAATAGGTCATGAAGGCTGGATTGCTAACAAACAACACCAATGCACATGTGAAAGAGCCCTGTTATGGTGGTTATAATACACAAATATATAGGAGCCAGGGTCTGTATTCAATTCAATACTTAGGACAAGTAAGAAGTTTACTAAGTAAATGGCGAAGTTAAGTAATTGACTTATCTCGTATTCAAATCGCATTTTAGACTTATACTTGCGTAAGACAAAATCTAAGTAAAATACTTACTAGTAAGCATTGTGACGCCACAAAGTCAATCAAAAGTAATGCGCAATTGATGCATTGTAATAAATGCGCGCTGATATAATTGTGCGCAGGATATAATACTGCGTAAGAAAACCATATGCCTGCCAATCAAGGCCACCAAATAATTGGCTTAAGTGTGGTATGGAGTTGGCTTAGATTTAGAGTAAAATACATAGCCAAAAGTGTGAATTGAATACCATAATTGGTTAAGTATTTTATCTAAGCCAAATTCTAAGTAAAAAGCTTAAATTTTGTAATTAAGTATTGAATTGAATATGGGCCCTGGTTACAAATCATTTTATGGCTCACAATATGGCTTGTCCTACCTAACTACACGGAATGTATGCAAATTCGCATTCTGACTATCGAAATACAATTATTCATAACGGGTGAATTAAATCATTTGTAACGAGGCACTTAACAAAGATCTGTGCATTAAATTTCATTATGTTATGGAAATGGCCCATTGGTGAAATAAACAAACTTCTGCACTGACTCAATGCATGAATTATGAAATCAGTGGTTTTCAACTGATAGTTACTTCTACCTTGCATAATATTGATTTTGATGTACATGTACGGAACCTCCTGGTTCGATAACGAAAAAAATCTCTAATTCATCTCAAGGTCATTTTGACAGTGCCATCTGTTAACATACCATTGTTTTTTAGCCCTGACATGACAGGTTTACAATATACCGGTAACAAGTAATTTTTCTTGGTCTAGAAAGAGATTTTCTATATTCTACACCTGTTTGTGTAGGTTAAAGGTAATACAAAGTTTTGGTATGGGGTCATGAATTTGGTTCAAATTAACATATTGGAAGCATATGCGATCCTAAAATATTCAGTGATCATTGTTGCGGTTGAAATCGAGTCTAAAGTTATGAAATTGTAACTGATAAACTCTTTATGTTGTATAGCTCCCTCTTAAGGTCAAGATATTAATTAAGCTATAAAACAATGTTCTTGACTAAAATAGAATGATTGGCTATTCCCTTTTGGAAATTATGTATCACAACTACATATTCTGAAATGTTCATGGTCGCAGCTACCATTATATGGCCATTATCAAAATTTACCGGGAGCACCAGTTAATTTTTATTTTTCATTTTTCTCGAAAGCAGAAGTGTTTTAGGGGCTAAATTTTCTAGTGCTTATAATACATCCACAGGGGCATCAAAATATATCAAAATTGTGAAGAATCACTATCCAGCCAATTTTCAATATTTCCCAAAACTTTGTATTACCTTTAAACTTTATTGCAAATCCTGTTTAATAAGAAAAAGTGTTTTACATAGTTGGCAAACATTATTCTTGTGCATGTTATGCTCTTCCAAATGCTGCTTCTGTTCACTCAGTCTTTGGGAAATTTATAGTCGAGCATATCATTTTAATCTTTAGCCTCCTAAATAATGGGAATGATTCCCTGAAACCCGGCTATCAATATGCTGGAAAAAATGATATTGAAGAACAAATTAATGTAACTCTGCCTGCAATTTGACGTTCTGATAATAGTGATGTACATCATCACTGTGTGAAATTAGATTGTAGTTGATTTAGGGTCTTTTTTACCTTTGGTCAAAATTTGAAATATATACAAAAACAAATGAACAAACAAACTCTTTATTACCACTATACTAATCCAAAAAAATCTTTTTATATGCTTGCAGGTACACTGTAATATCCTTAAAGATAAACTTGAGTTCTGGTAAATATAGAAAATAAATACTCACTTAATCCAACAAAACTTACAGTGAATGTTCAAGATTACAAATAAATGAAATGTGCCAAACAATTTTTGTAGAAAATGTATAGTGGCTGAGTTATGAGCATAGAAAGATAAGGATATCCGGGTAAGCAGGCCCGACACCATGTGCATAACACAGGTCACTATGTGCAAATGGGAGTTGTGGTTTTATCGAAGATGATGCCCAGTAAGTTTTTTTGCGTTAAGTTTTTATTTCACTGGTTCAAACAACCAATCTACTGTAGGATAAACGATCCAGAATAAATCATGGCAATTTTCTCTCAAAATTTGATTCCCATACCAGAGCTCAAGATTAGCTTTAAGAATTCTTTATACAAGAATATTATCTTAAAAACACTTACGTACAATGTATCTTATAATAATGTATGCCTAAATCTAATATTGCTATTCCTATAACCTCACTATTAGTTCTGCATCCATTATGCAGATTTCTAAAATAAAAATTGGTATACTACTGTATATTCAACATAATTTTATTTATCAATCTACTTCATCATGTTCCAATGTAAAATAAAAACTCTAAATACTTTAAAGGTAGGGTATTCTACTGACACTACTTCAAGTTAACGTATACTGCCATATGTACTGCCACTGTCGACAGCTGTGTCCCACAATGCTTCACCAAATCATGATGACGCGCTCGAGACAATGCTTGGATACAGGAATTTGAAATTGCTCTATGTATGCCTTAACCAAAGGATGGCGCAATTGAAAATAGACTACATCAGTGGTAGCGATGTCTGTAAAATACCCTGACTTTATTACAAGACAATTATAGCATTATCAATTTGCATTCATCATAAATGTACAATTCTTTTTGTACGATTAAGTACATGTACTATTTGTCAATTAAAGACATGATTTCTTTACTAAATACACAAAACAAATCATAACAATCATAATCTTTTTGATTATTGTTGGAAGACATTTTCAACACATACCAAAATTTAAAAGTACCGGTACAAACAATATTGTCAATATCTTACACGTCAGACAAGTACTCCAAAACAAAATCTTTCAAAATATACATGACAAAAGCAGTGTTTCACACACAATGCGCTGAAATTTAGTACTTTTTGCGACACACAAAAATATAACTCTAGTGCCGATTCTGCTGTTTTCATTGCACAGGAGTGAATTTGCAGAAAAGAACTGACACATGTACTTCCTAAATAAATAAGAAAAGACTGCTTTTGTGCAATTCTAAGAACAGCTATGATTTGTTTTTAAGACCCAGCTTAGAGTTTCCTACAGGTTTTGTAAAGCACACTGCACACCAAAGGATACAACTGCATGGAGTTTAAGGTAGCTGACTATTACATGTAGGTGTTCCTTACATCACCAAGTTTCTCAAAATAAATTGACATCAATTTTTTTTTTCACTTTACATTTAGTCTGTTGAAAGCTCCAGTAGGGCTAACTTAATACCATGATCAGATATATTACAATGTGATGGGAGGAAAGGATGTGGCTCTTGAACAGGGGTAGATGGGCGTGGCACATCGGCTGAGATCACTGGGTCTATGCAGTGATGGGAGGAAAGGGTGTGGCTCTTGTAGAGGGGTAGATGGGCGTGGCACATTGGCGTGAGATGACTTGGTCTTTGGAGTGACGAGAAAAAGGGTGAGTCTCTTGAAGTGGGGTAGATGGGCGTGGCACATCTAGGAGAAGATCACTGTGTCTTTGCAGGGATAACTCTCGTGAGTATGTAGATGGGGAACACCATGAGGACAGCTCCCCAGATGTAGCAGACACCGGCTCCAGCTCCCCAGTACACTGCAAAGACATAGCACACACAAAGATGATTACAAAAAATGTCTAGGAACAATGGATGGTTGTATAAAGCTTGGCCTTTTCAGTGTGAAATCATCAAAATAGATTCATGCAGGTTTTTATTAGAATCTTGTAGTTCTAGTAATGCCATTTTCAAAAGGAATCTGTAGAAAATATATTCTAAATAAATTTTATATCAATACAGTTGACTATAGGGTAAATAAAAATTAGATCTATTTTTTTTTCAATCATCATTTTTTTCTATAAAATCAAAGTGTTAAGTCTAGATAAAGGAAAACCGTGGGCAAACTTTTTAGTTGGATTCCGGCGAAAATAGGCTAGTTAGTCCCCCCCCCCCCCCTTGTGCATGCAGTGAGGGTTACCGTCTGTGTATGGGGAAGGTTGAAAAATGTCACTTTTATTAAAGAATTCCCAACACTAGATGGTTATTTTTGTCTTGTATCAGAAAACTGCTACATACAGTACATATATCATGTTTGTCGTAATGTTGAACACGCATTTAAAGTTCTTAATATTAACATCAAAATTGACTGAAAATGCAATACCTCAAACTAATGCTTATAAAGGATTAACGAGGAGGATATAGTAGTTACCTGCAGAAGCTGCTGCCGGTCCGAAGGCCCTGGAGAGCGCCCCCAGTGATCTGAAGATGCCCATGATGGTACCTTTCTGGTCCTCAGGACCTACATTACAAAAAAAACGTGCAATAAGGAGTAATGTACATTAGCCATCAGTGACTACATGACCCAAGGTCCTGTTTCATAAAACTTTTTATTAATAACAAGTTACAATATCTGTAAGTTATAAGCAACTGAAATTGTGGCATTTGATTGGCTTAGAGCAAATTTGTCACTGAAATTTAGCACTTGTTATTGATAACAAGTTTTATGAAACAGGGCCCAGGTCACCCAGGTATACACGGGGGCTCTGGGCGAATTATCCCCTGAAATGCCCAAAATAGCACCTGAAAATCAGAAAAGAGCCCCTTTAAATTTGCATAGAGCTCAATGCAAAACAAATTTTAGAATGTTATTTTCATGCAGGCAAGCTTGAAAAGAAGCCCCCGAAAAATTAATATTAGTTTTTTCCCTGTCCTATAGGAATGAGCATAGTACTAAAGGGGTAAAGAATGTTGACCTTCTAGTTACAAATAATACCATATGACACTGCTTCTATTAACCAATACAAGTACCGGGAAGTAAATGGAACTGACTTCTGAAATGCTTAAATTGAAATTCCTATCTTACATATTGTAGCAACAATAATTCATGTTCATTAAAGGTAAAGGCCAGTATTGGAAACACCCCAATTTCAAAAAATGAAATGGAAGCTCTTATTGCCAATCATGTGAAAGAATATGTTTTGACTAATACATGATGATAAAAATCTTGCCGAGAAACCGCCTACTAATTGAAATATTTGGTAAATTAGTTTATCTATTGGTGTGTAAGAGATAAACGCACGTGCGTAGTCCCATATACATCTTTCTGTGTACATTGCTTGTAACTTTACCAAGACTGGGCCAAATTTCTTATCATTTTGATGATTCCAGAACCTTGCAGTACACACCGATACTTATATGCTAGATGATCAACCTTTTCTGATCGATTCCACAACGTTTCTTTCACAATGCAATCGCATGACCATAACTGGTCTTTATCTTTAAACACAGAGTTAATGCGTCATCTACACATCATCCAGATACTTTCAAACTTTCTATGATTGCCTTAGCAATGTGGTCTTGAATAGAGAAGAAATATCATAAAAATTAGTCACTCAGGTATAATTTGAGTCACAAGACGATCCAAAATAAAAGATAAAAAGAAGAGTTGGTTGATGAAATGCATGCCAGTCCCACTAATAATATGTAGGAAACAGACAAAATAGGGCAAAATGTATTATCATAAACTTGTTCCCCCCCCCCCCCCTCCCTTTAACTGAACTTTTTTTTTAATGGAAAAGAAAGGATTGGTGATGCGTTTTTAAACCCACAATACTCTGTGATGTATGCAAAGTTAACACATTTGTTGTATGCATATACATTTAACTATATTTGTTAAAAGTACCCTACTACTTACCATACATAGTGACAATGGTCGTCATACAAGGCACAACAGTTCCAGATGCTACACGATAAGAGAACAAACAAAAAGAGAAGGAATTTTACTGTCTCTTATTTCCTGCTGCGTTACCACTTTGTTTCTCCACATCGAACCGGCATCAAAACGGTATCAAAGTCAGATTGATACTTCAAACCAAGAATACATTGAAGGTGGAAACACATGGGAAACGCATACATGTCAAAAATCAAGAAACGAACTGACATCAAAATGAAAAAGTGTTGGTGAGACCTAGGCAACATTTTTTTTAAACAGCAAATGCAGTAGATAAACTGAAGACATTGAGCGATCATCATTTCAGACATACCTATTGAAAACAAGGCAAGTCCCAGGTAATATAGGAACGACCCTGATGAAAAGGCAATGATGACAAAGGCTGGTATCAAAATCAGCATTCCCTGAAATGAGAAAAAGGGGAGGAATGTTAGCCCATTGCTTACTGGAACCGGTCAGTCCCTGTGTATTGAAGATAAAGACCAGTTATGGTCATGTGATTGCATTGTGAAAGAAACATGTGGAATCGATCAAAAAAGGTTGATCATCTAGCATATAAGTATTGGTGTGTACTGCAAGGTTCTGGAATCATCAAAATGATAAGAAATTTGGCCCAGTCTTGGTATAGTTACAAGCACTGTACACAGAAAGATGTATGTGGGAATACGCGACACATGCGTTATATCTATCTGGTCCAAATAGATATAATAATTTACCAAATATATCAATTAGTAGGCGGTTTCTCAGCAAAATTTGTATGATCACGTATTCGTAAAAACATTTTTTTTCACATGATTGGTAATAAGAGCTTCCATTTCATTTTTTGAGAGGGGGGCATTTCCAAAAACTGGTCTTTACCTTTAAGCCTATGGGAAGAAGATATTTCAGTAAGTCAGCGGGTTAAACACACTTTTGTTTTTACTTACATTCTTGTACTTTCAGATACACAATTCTCATCATCTTTTATTTTTCTGAACTGGAAGAACATTACTGGTTCAAAAGGAAGCATAGGCCAATATTCTCATTTAATAAAATACACATACAACTAGAAATAGTTCATGACTTCAAGTAAGTCATATTTATATTTCATGCTCGTTTGGTCCACACACGGACGCACATATCTGTAAACAGTGCTCTTCATTTTTTGATATTCAGTACAGTTTAGATACAATTTGGAGTCTTGAAAATATCATTGAAAGACAAAATATTGACATTTACATAATCATGTTATTTATTTATTATGTAATAACTGAGGAATAAGTAAACTTTAACCTTCAAGTAATTCATACAATGTTTAACTTACAGTAAGTGCAACTCGCTTTTCTTGTCCTGGTTTTATTCTACGTACATAGCCACCTAGAGAGGAAAAATATCAAAGGTCAAAGGTCAAAGGTCAATGGCCAACTTTTATTACTGAGGAATATATTCCGGGGAAAAAGCAGGTTTCTGGAATTATTTGGAGCAAACCCACCCATGTCTTTTAGAAAGAGACAAATTATCATGTATTTAGAGCTGCACTTTACAATTTTGATGAGAAGATGATTAATAATACTCTGAGGAAACTATTTGTCACGTATAATGTACTCTACCTGCCTTTCTTAAAAAAATTATCTATCACTTACATTTATCATGTGCAACAATAAACCTGTAATAATGAGGGTATACACTTCAAAATACAAATGATGTATGCATTGCATACTTAAATATCAGTTGGATAGTACTGGAAATATTGCATGCTTTTTCATGAAAAAATGTTGTATAGTCTCAGTAAAACGTGGTATAGTCTCAGTAAAACGTGGTATAGTCTCAGTAAAGCGTTGGATAGTCTCAGTAAAGTGTTGGATAGGTCTCAGTAAAGCATGGTATAGTCTCAGTAAAGTGTGGTATAGTCTCAGTTAGGCGTTGGATAGTCTCAGTAAAACGTGGTGTAGTCTCAGTAAAACGTGGTATAGTCTCAGTAAAACGTGGAATAGTCTCAGTAAATGAATCATACATAACCGCTTTTGACAATTCATTTGAATAGGATCAAGGAATAAGTTGTATACTATCAATTCTGTCGATCATTCATCAATATTGTTCAGACTATTTCAATATTATTACCTTGCAATGCAGCCATTATAAGCCCCATGAAGACAAACATTTTACCCTGTTGCATACTGTGAATAAAAACACAGACATAACATCAAACAAATGAATAACAATGTGCATTCTACCTAAACAAAGGGTAGCTTAATGTTACCCTTGTATATAATATGAATAAAAAAGACAGAATACATCAAACAAATAAAATACCACAGTGCATGATTGATCAACTGGACCCTTATGTTGAAATGTTTCTTCTTATGGAAAACAAATATTTACTTTAAGAGAAAATACACCCTCAGCACATGAACAGCAAATAACAATATCAAAGGCAAATAATCCTAGATCACTTCCTCTTTCAATTTACATATACATGTACATTCAAACAAAGCACGATATTAACATGATATACATCTATTTACTTCAAGGAGGTCATTTTTTTTTTTACTGTCATTGAACCCTTTTCCCCCAAATATTTCTTCTTTTGTAATTCCTAATTTGAGTGTTATTTGAAACGCATATTTTCTTCATGTATCTGTGTACAGGTACCATTCACAAAAGACATTAGAAACACGTATGCAATTTTACCTCATACAATAGAAACATAAATTTATTTAAATGATATCCTTTAGTGGTTGAGTAAAGCAATACAATTTTTCTTTTATATCCCTTTTAAAGCTCTCACAAACAGAGCAATATAAACTTTCCTGCACTGTACTACTTGCATCTGTCAGTCTTAAAGGTACATGTACTATGTCCCATTTGCAGGTCAAAAAAAAATGAAAAGGTTAAATTCCAATGGCATTTGAAAGATAATACTAATTTAGAACTTCCCCCCAAAAAGGGGGCTTGAAATTGTCTTTAAGTGGGAAAATAAAGACTATCAGTTGTCGAATTGACTTAAGAGCTATAGAACCAGTAAGTAATAGTCTGATATTCAGACCACTGTACCGAATGGTCGTACATTTTATGCTGCGCAAAGATTCAATCAGTTTAATTTTGGCCATTACAAGAAGTGGGTTATTAATGTAGACAAATGCCCATGTACCCATTACACTTGCAGCTCATTTTATATATGTTATTACCAAAGAAGAAAAAAGCCAGTCAGTCACTCAATAGTGTCTGACAGTGAAGTCTAGCAGGTAAACAGGTTTCCTTGCATAATTTGAATATTAGGACACTGCTAACATTTAAATTTCACAGATAGTACATACATGACATATTCATAATTCCTGCAAAGTTCTACAGAATTTGATGTTGGCTGCAAAAGGGCCATACGGTAGTATCTTTAAGAGACCATAGAATATTTCACTTTCTAATAAATCTTTGGTTTAAACTTCACCTCCAAATTTTTTGTTCTTCTTCTGATTCTTCTACTTTTGACTTGATGCAACTTGCCATCACGGTTGATTGCCAGTAAATTGTTACAAGAGAGAGAGAGAGAGAGAGAGAGAGAGAGAGAGAGAGAGACATGAAAGTCCAGTATAAAATAAGGCTCACCTAGTGTACTGGAATCGTATATGAACCAGGAATGTAAGCGTAAACTCCAGTCCAGAGAATAAGAAGAGATAGAGGAAATAACTCAGCCCAAGCTGTTGTAAAATCTGCATCTCTAAAGAGTAAAATAAAAGATATTTATATCACACAGATATTAGTCAATACCACTAATCAAATAGTTGTTTCCGTTATCAGTCTATATACATGTAATGTACTATTTTACTATTTATTAAGCTGTCTATTGTTACATGATGTATTTCAATTGTATTTTGTAGTGCAGGGCTCTCTTGCAAAGCAGTTTTTTTAAAGTCCTGAAGAGACTCTTCTGTATAGAGAACACAGGAAAATAAATAAGTAAACAGATAAATAATGGACATCTGTGCCGTGTTACAGACCACCGACTGTTCTTTACACCGGTGATATGACAGCTATCAATCGGTGACCGAACATTTGCCTCGGTGACATTTTCTCTAAGCTTTATTTCTTCAAAAGATAAAAGGCTAGGGTTAGATTTGCATATGGGTTGGGAAAATAACGGTTGATGGATTTTCAAATTTGCCTACAGATGTTCACGAGTTTTCCTAGCGAAAAAGAAAAAAAAGAGGTCTATCAGTTTTTGAGATCTGCCATCAGTGACACCCTTGTGCGTATTGGGAATTCCTCTTTTCAGTTAACCACACTAGAAAAAAAGTTGGATAGTATGCACAAGAATACTATTAACTGCAACAAACAACACTACAATCCCGGGTTGACCTAACAGTCCCACAATACTTTGCGGTGACATAATTAGCCAGAGTTTGATGAACTTTTTCACTGCCTTTTTTCTGGCTAGATCGGAATACGCGTAGATAGAAAGTGCCCTTACCTGGCATTATACGCTTATTTATTCAACCGGATAAATTCAGTATAACTAATAGAAACACGCTGAATGATTAGATTTTTAGTAAAAACCTTGATCAACTTCCATTATTACTTAACAATGTTCAGTACTAGAACCTTTAAAGGGAGTGTAGCTTGGCAAATACTGGTTAACGCCATCTACATCTTTTTGGACAACTGCACGTAAATTTATATATAATTTGTTGCATACATGATTGTATACTCACCTTTTGTGTTTGTGTTTTTGACAGCTGAAAATCTAAAGAGACTGAATGGGTTGATAAGGTTCTGTCTTTCTTGAAAGCTGTTTCCCATAGATGGGGCCTAAGTAAGAAATCAAACAAAAAAATAGATAATAATAACAACAATTGCATATAAAGATGAAGTTGAGTTCTGGTCATGCAATTGCATTGTGAAAGAAACGATGTGGAATCGACCAGAAAGGTTGATCATCTAGCATATAAGAATTTGTGTGTATTGCAAGGTTCTGGAATCATCAAAATGCCAAGTCTTGGTAAAGTTACAAACACTGTACACAGAAAGATGGGACTACATGAACACGTGGCGTAAAAATCTGTCCCTGGATTTTCACGATGTTACATGACATATTTAGAATACGAAGGCATTTGAAGAGCCATGCTTTTCAGGGAACATGTCTTATCTGATGTTCTTCCACACTTGCATAATAAGAGTGGTAACGCTCACAAATTATTGTTCACCTCTTCCCAGAATTCAACCTTCTCTTTAAATAGCACCTTTTCCACTAGCGCTATGATGTATACATTGTACATGCAATGAAAAATCCCTAACAGTTTTAATTTTTTAATCCCGTCTAATCTAATCCAATCAGGATTTGATATATGGCAGCTCTCCTTAGCAGCAACAAAGCATTATAAATACATGTACACATACATCATCAGTCCACATAAACATTTCTGCATTTCATCAAGTGAAATATAAATGTTATATCAAAATTGTGTTGATCAACTAATGAGGAGAGCCTCCTACAAAAACTCAGTTTCTTTTGGTAATCCTCAGGCATTAATAGTTGATGGTTTTTTTCTTGTTTTTGTATTTATTATTGTGATTTGTTTTCTTGTATTCTTTGGTATTGTTATACTCCTTTATGGTCCTGGAAATGAAATATAAAAAAATAATAATCATAGAGATTGTTCATATATCTTAACACTTTCTAAAATTCCATTAGACGATTGCACCTGCATGTAACAGTAATAATCATTTGATTAAATTACTGGATTCATATCAAGCCTCCATATACATGTATTGGTCTATATCTCATCCCCGCTCCTTAGGGAGTATCTGTTACATATGGTCACCAATAGGACATACGGCAAACTCAATCAAACAGGACTCTTTGTGGTCCTAGCATATCCTCATTTTGCTCCTGCTGGGTACAAATTGGCACTGTAGATTGTACATAAATGTTGTATCTCCTCAAAGGACATAGAGCTATTGCTAGTCTGCAGGAACAGACTCTAACTTGACACTAGATCATAATTAGCTCATATGGTCACTAATAGGCCACATGGCAAACTTAATCAAACAGACTCTTTGTGGTCCTAGCATATATATCCTTATTTTGCCCCTGATGGGTACAAATTGGCAACGTAGACGACATGTAATTGCAGTATCTCATCAAAAAACATAGAGCTAGGGCTGTAGTCTGCAGGAACAGACTCTAACTTGACACTTTACCATAATTAGCTCATACACCTATACATGTATGGTCACCAATATCCCATATGGCAAACTTAATCAAACAGACTCTTTGTGGTCCTAGCATATATATCCTTATTTTGCTCCTACTGGGTACAAATTGACAATGTAGACGACATGTAATTGCAGTATCTCATCAAAAAACCTTGAGCTAGGGCTGTAGTCTGCAGGAAAAGACTCTAACTTGACACTTAACCATAATTAGCTCATATGGTCACTAATATAGGCCACATGGCAAACTCAATACATGTACAGACTCTTTGTGGTCCTATAGCATATCCCTATTTTGCCCCTGCTAGGTACAAATTGGCGATAATTGCAGTATGTCGTCAAAGAACATAGAGCTACAGTATGCCTAGTCTGCAGGATCAGACTCTAGTTAGACACTTTACCATAATTCCAATAAAAGCCTTGAGCAGAGCCTAGTTCTGTCTGTCTCTGTGGCCGTGTCAAATACAGAGCATAGGGAGTATGTCGTCAGCAAGGTACAGTATCACAGTGCAGACACTGTTACGCACAATAACTGACTAGGGTGTGTGCCTATACAAACTAAGCTATAGGTATGGTTTTCACCTGAAATGTTGGCCAACAGGCCAGTGACAAATACACTGACTGCACATACTTTGTACTGCAGGTAGACACAGGACATTAAAGTTTGAATTACAGACTAATAGGTGCATACGTGTACAATGTAAATACATTGAAAATTAAACAAATCTAAAATGGTGGGCATCTCCTTTTACTTCTCTAAACCAGGCCTTCTCAACTGGCGGCGCGCGCGCCACTCGTGGCGCTTGCGGTCAGTCAGAGTGGCGCGCGGCTGTTCCAAAAAATTAATAAAAATTAAAAATTAAAAATTAAAGAAAGAACAACATTAACAAATTATATTTTAAAATAAAAAAAACTCAGAAAAATCAAAAAGTCGCAGTCAAAGTTGAGCCCAAAATGTAAGGAAGCCATTTTGTTTGTTTGATTTTCACTTCAGTTTGACATTTTCCGTGTTTATTTCACCAAAATAACTACATATAAATTAACTTCCAGTGTAGATTTTAGCCAGGAATTGTACTAATTATTTCACATCAATATGAAATTATGATTGATGTTTTATGGAACAAAAAGGTGTTAAAAATGCCACATCTGGGCCTTAAAAAAGCCCCAAAATCCACTAGCTTCCGGGGGCTTCGCCCCCTGGACCCCACCTGGTATCGGCTCGGTCGCTACGCTCCCTCGTAACACAGTCACCAGACATACAGGTTGGCACTTCAACCTCAATTCATTTTTGTTTTGGCGCTTCTAATAAACTAGTTGAGAAGGCCTGCTCTAAACCATTCATTAAATTCTTAAAATATGATATATAAATATAATAAATTATCTACTTTTAAAATGCTCATATCATTTACTACATACATGTACAAGTGGCACATTATATTGAAAAAATATGAGGTGTACTGTTCAGAATCATGAAAGGAAGTGAATGTTGAAAAAAAATAGTATAACATAATTTAGTGTCAAAATGGTCATGTGATTTACTACATGTATAAGTAGCACATTTTATTAGAACATTTTTTGGCATTGAATGACTACTGTTCTGAACCGTAAAAAGGAAGTGAATGTTGAATGTTGAACTGGAAAATGTTGGAGGTGTCATATGAACATTGTTCAGAACAATGAGAGGAAGTGTTTAAAGAGGAGGAAAAACAATAATGGCTTGTGCTTACCCTCTTTTCCTGTGGGAGTGTTTCCTTGAGGAAGGCGAAGACAAAGAGAAGATCGGCGATGGACAGCGTCAGGGCCAGGAGAGCGGGTGTGACCGCCCACGCCCCCTCGGCAAAGAGCCCTCCTTTGGTGGCGAAGTAGGCCCCAATCATGGGACCGACGATGAAACCGACAGAGAACGCAAGACCAATCATAGCCTGTGTTCAATGAAAATGATAGAATTTTTGTTTGAGCCTTCATTATGAGGACGTACAAGAAATGTGAAGAAGTCATAAATGTTTTGAGGGTGCTGAACAGAAGAATTAAAGATGAAGTTGAGTTCTGGTCATGCGATTGCATTGTGAAAGAAATGGTGTGGAATCGACCAGAAAAAGTTGATCATCTAGCATATAAGAATTTGTGTGTATTGCAAGGTTCTGGAATCATCAAAATGATAAGAAATTTGGCCAAGTCTTGGTAAAATTACAAACACTGTACACAGAAAGATGTATATGGGACTACACGAACACGATGTTACATGACATATTTAGAATATGAAGGCATTTGAAGAGCCATGCTTTTCAGGGAACATGTCTTATCTGATGTTCTTCCACACTTGCATAATAAGAATGATAACGTTCACAAATTATTTTTCACCTCTACCCAGAACTCAACCTTCTCTTTAATAATTACTAATAACAGGCTCCAATATACCGGTTTACTATTCAAATATTTTGCACACCTTTTAAACAAAGGTTTTTCTTGACAACTGCAAGCTTGCCTGTGGCTTTCCCGACATAGCAACAAGTCATGTAAGCAGTCTGGGTTCCAAGTACTGTAGTTCATTATTAATAACAGGTTAATTGACTAACTCATCACTACTGTAGGTCCCCAGGAAAGAAGCATCCATAAATTTGAATATGTTAGTAAACCTGTCTATTATGGAACCAATGGTGAAACCTACAAAGAAAGCAATGGGTAAAATCAGTTCAAACCGTCATATAAAAAAACAAAAGAGAGAGAGAGAGATGGAGAGGTCTGAACTGACCTGAGGGTGGTGAAAAGATATTAATTTCTTAATTAAAAAAGGAAAAAAAAATCACAAATAGTTGGTCCCAAACATAGAACCAACAATAAAGCCCACAGCGAATGCAAGGCCAATTTGAGACTGTTTCAAGAGCAATGGGTAAAATAAAGTTTAAACCTCCATATAAAAAACAACGGAGAAAGATGGAGAAGCCTTCTGAGGGTGTTAAAAGAAAAATTACTACTAGATTTTTCACTGTTTTTATACAAAAGAAATGTAAGGTCCAAGATATTGTTGCATTCATTGCTACCAAATGGAATTGATCTCTGTTTATATCATACATGTTTGATGAAACATGGCGTATCCAAAGTTCCTATGAACTTTGGTTGGACCCCTGAATTTGGATAATGTTAAAGTGACTCGGTAGCATTGTTGAAGGTTGATGAAAAAAATTGCTTAATTTTTGTATAAAATGTTACTTACTATATTCCTTCTACTATACTAACCCTCTGACATGCAAAAAATCCTGAACAAATTCTCAAACCACAAAGATATCTATGGTTTTCTTTGAAGGCGTCGATGTGAGACACCCTCTAACAGTGATTAACAGTAAATTCTCCCAACCATTTTTGAATTTTCCCAACCGTTTTTCCATGACAAAAATATATAAAACAGGCTATAAAAATCTGTCAACACTTAATTGTCTGGAATGGAATGTAAAGCCATTTTATTGCTTTGTGACGATTTACATTCACATAAAATGTAATTAAATTGTCCTTGTCTTGATGCTGAACAGGCTTTGACAAGTAGCAGAATAGAAGTAGAATAATATAGTTGGGAGAATTAAGGAATCGATCAGATCAGTTTTTCTCAATTTGTACCATGAATAATGATCCGTTTTCACTCAAATTTTCAGATTATCTTTAATTGTACATCTAGCATTGAAGTCACTACCTTAGCACCACTATCTCTCATCTGAACAATGTTACAAAGTCCCTTTAAACATAAGACAGTTTATATATCAAATCTTCAGTTGAAAATAAGAGATTTGCAATCAACAGATCAAACAGTTAAATGCTTTAATCAGATTAAAAATTGATTGTTTCTCTCTAAAAAGGCCTATACAATGTACATGTAGATGAAAATCTTATTGATTCACCAGATAATCTGGGCATTATACGGGTAAAAGATAATCAGAGCCATAATTCCCAAATCTTTGCTAACAGGAGATTCATAGAATGGAAGTGGTACACAATGTTCATACATTCATATCGAAATTCAAAAGCATTTAAAATTTCTAAATCTGGGTTACTTCCTCCAAAATTCCAAAATAAATCTTGTGATTGTATATTTCATAAAACCTTGTCAAAACGTACCAATAAGTATATGCAGGTGATCATTTCATCCAACTTTCAATAGGATTATAACTATGAAGTATATGTAGATAAGAGTACAGCTTGGATTTAAGACAAAACTTGAAGAAAAATAAAACTTTGGATGACCAATATACAGTAGATGATGACTATTCACACTTCACAGCATGGACATGCATATATGGTACCATACCTCATTTCTGTTCAAAAAAAAACTTTCAATGGTGCAATATTTCTCACTACTTGACAATATACTCTAGGGCATGGTGGCTCAGTGGTTAGAGCGCCTGCCTCATGAACGGGAGGTCGTGGGTTCGAACCCCGGCCGAGTCATACCAAAGACTTATAACAATGGGACCCTCTGCCATCTAGCTAGGCGCTCAGCATATTAGATTGGAGAAGGGTAGTAATAACATTTTATGTTATGCAGGGCCCGCTGGAAGAGCAGTTTCATGACTGAAGTGGCTGCCCTGGGTAAATAAAACGTTATTATTATTATTATTATTAATCAAATATAAAGTTAGATTTGAATTTTGCTTACCATGCCTTTCCCTCTGGTCTTGGTTGTTGAGATATCAGTCACTATGGTCGTACTTAGACTGACGTTACCCTTAAAGATTCCACCTACAATCCTCGCTAAAACAAAGATTCCAAAGTTGTACGACATCGCCCATAGAACGTAGGATAAAGCAATGCCAACCTGTCGAATCAATATTGTAAAGGGACTATTATTAAAACACACATTTAGACAAATGAAGACTGTCAAAGATATTTCTTATGAAGACCAGTTAATAGTAGTGCGTGACTTACACAAGTAACGTAACCCTTTCTGAGTGTACATGTATCTACAATCCTTGCTATTAAACATGAAGCTGCTAATGTTATATGACAACACCCACAGACAGTTACTATTTATTTCATACATTAGAATTGTATTCAACAATGTATCCTTACATGTTTAAAGCAAAAGTAATCCTCAAAATAGTTTTTTCCCATGAAAGATCAAACAATTTCAGTGTCAAAACACCAAAATGTACTTGAAAGACCAATACTGTGTTGCTACAAAAGAAAGAAACATTGGAATCAAATTGTGATGCATGACGAACATGCCATTGTTCCTATCATTAAAACAAAAATTGTACTTGCCATGGCCTTCTACCCATAATAATACATCCATACATATTAATGAATTCTCTAGATCAACATCATGACACATCTACTTCTCCTGGTAAATCTGAATTCTTGCTAATATCTGTCATAAATATAAACACCTAAAAAAAAGTTCTGCTACCGGTATTCAAGTTTTAGGATCGATATCGCTTGTTAGTACAATCTGTATATTATCAAACATATAGTTGACATTCCTTTCATTAAAAACACTATTCCCATGTGTAATGATTATGTAATCATGGAATGTGCAGTAACCTGAATATGGGCCATGTCAAAAGTGAAATGTTGCCAAATGCATTGGAATTATCAATAGTGTATTCTTCATTTTTACAGAGGATGGATTGTGTTTGAAGGAATAACAATGCATTTTGCAACTTTTCATTTTTGACGTGGCCCCATATTCAGGTGTATATATATTCCATGATTACATAATCATTCCAAATGGGGCATTATTGTAAAGGGGAATAAACAGGCTTTTCAATGATACCAGCACCAAATATGATACTATAGTAACAAGAGAAATATCGAAGCACAAATTTAAATTACAGAACATTTTTGAGGAGATTATATTTCCATGATACACAATGAATCGGATTGGATCTTTGCATGTAACTGACATTACGCAACAAACCAAAATGTCAGAAATCGTAATTTTGTTAGGTTTTAGCCAATATCAACTACATTATAGTAAATCATTATAATAGCTTGTCAATGCAGCTGGCAAACTTAGAATGCATTCAATTATGATACAAACAAAAAGCTACCAGTACAATGCATTTTATGGTATATCATCCAAATACAGAATACTATATCGATGTTTGTGTGAAGGTTTTTGTTTTAAACTGTACATGTACATACGATGTAATTTATTGAAGGTAAAAAACATATGTCATTCAAGGGTTTAGAAGTTGCTGTTCATCTTGTGAAAAAAGTATTCCTACCATAATCAAACAATGTGCATCCTTGTATAATGTAGAAAAACAAATTGATTAGAGTGTTATGAATGAATATTAAAGTAAATATTGTTTTAAGTGTGATTGACTGAGAGTGAGAGGAGTATAAAACAAATAACTAGGAGTGAAGATTTTTGTCAAATATTCTTTTATCTTCAATGTACACAATGCAGAGGTCAATCACGCTTTGCCACATGTACTGTATGCTTGAATCTCACACTGTAGATATACCGTACACTGTGTATAATATCATTGCAGCAATCCATTGTCATGGTTTTGGAGAATTAAATCAGAGCAATTGTGACCTTCGGAGCTTCAAACAAATGAATAATAGATCAAAAAGAATCAATGGCCATGGTGCCAAACAGAATAACATGTGTTCAGCTGCATATATACTGGTATTGATAAACTAAGAGATCTTTCTCCATATTTTACACTGTAGTCTGGACGATTCATTCTGCAAAAAATCCATACATAATACGAATGGTTTCATGAATTGAAATACACAAAAAATATAATGCAAAAGAACTGCTCTGTACAAATACATGTAGGTCAGCTCTTGCATTAAGTTTTCAAACAATAAAGTTGTGATCTTTGGGCATAATCTTTGGCCTATAGTTTGTCACAGATGCAACGTTGATAGCTAAGTTATCACAATTGAATGCACAATCCGTTTTTAGATTTTGAAGAAGACTATTTAGTATTTCTTGATTTGTTATAGTTTGGATGTTTGTCGACGTTGGCTTTTCTTATGGGATGTCAACTCAAAGTAAATGTACATTATGTAGCAAGACATTGATTTCATGGCTTTTAACTTGGACGAGTAAGCTAAATGTTCATGTCGGGATACAGACTTTGGCAAAATACCTGGGAAGATGAACGACATGGACACGGATAGATCTTATCTCGGAAAACTCCAGCTGATAAATTATCAATATTTAGTATCAAACTAGAACTAACCAATTTACACTGTACATGCACATGTACATATTAACAGAGCCTGTAAAGTCATTCACTCACCATGGTAACGAGCATGACTGACCGCCTCCCGTAGACATCGGATGCAGCTCCGATCACAGGACTCGTAACAAATTGTAAAAGTGAGAAGAGGGACCCAAGTACTCCTGATGAAAATGAAAAAAAATATAAGACGGTGCATTTAACATTACAGATATTGTGATTCACACATGTGTACCACAGCCTTGACTTTTTAATATCGGGAAAACAAACACTGCAATTTTCAAACATGCAAGACATTGTCAAATTAAAAATCTTTCTTGTCAAAACATTTATATTATCCGGGTATGTACAAGGTTAACAAGGGACCCCCCCCCCCCCCCCAAAAAAAAAAAAAAAAAAAAAAAATTATTGGTTTTGCATTTAACATATTCATGTATGTTTAGAACAAAAGTTACAACTTTCAAGTAAAATTAAAAGTCTCTTCAGCCCTCCAGGCTGAGAGGCTTATTACATGATTGATTTCTTCCTATTAACTGAAATTTCACATTGACAACAAATACGGCTGTAACTTTTCACCACTAACATGTTTCTCATTATTTGTCAAATTAGTAATTTACCATTTGCCAATTTCTTAATCACAGATAAATAAACAACTGTTCTGTTTATAGCTGAAGACAAAAAGTCCCAATACAACTTAATATTTCTTTCTTTACATTTCAAATATGAAAGTATAGTGTATAAGTATTAGATGAGCCTTACCTCCAAAAAGAACTGAATTGTATTTTTTGGTGTCAGGAATTTGTAGAACCTCCCTAAACTGATCTACACTGTGATGCAATGATGCGTACAATCCACTCTGTACAAATAAATCATATGAAAAGATTTGATTAGATAGTTTCTTGGTAAATCAATAAAAATCATAAATATTTGGAATAAATGGAAAATAAAAGATAGTTTATCAATGGTGACTATAAATATAGGAGATAAATGGTATTCAAATCTTTGAATCTGAATTGTTTTCAATTTATTAATCATTGTATTAATCATACAAAAGATAGGACTTTGAACATTTTAAACAAATACTACAGCTGTATAGCACAAGGTATTACACATTTCTAATTTTCTATGACATACCAAAAGCAAACTTTTGGTTTATCACAGACATCCTAGTGATCCCACTTCCTTGTGCCTCTGTGTTATCATCATGTAACACGATGAGATAGCAATCAACTGAGTGCAAAACTGCAAATACAGTCAATTCATATCCTGTTTGACAAATATGTAGAGATTAGCTAGAGAAATAGCTTCTGTGCCTGGCTGCATATGTAATTCAACTTTTTTCCATCTTGTTTTCTTCATCAATCTTTATCTTTATTATTAATTCTTCTCCTCATTCCCCTTGTTTTCTTCTTCCTCTTCTCTGCTTCCTCTTCTCCTTTCTCCTTTTATTTTTTCCCCTTTCTTCAATGACAGATGAGGACACATATCCCCAGTTTAAAAAATCTCCTTATTCTCCTCAGGGAAAAAAACTTTACAAATTTTGGGGCTACTTTTCAAGCTTGCTTGCATGAAAATAACACTCTTTAATTCATTTTGCATTGAACTCTATGCAAATTTTTTGGGGGGCACTTTTATGACTTCGGGGGCTCTTTTTGGCATTTCGGACGGTGGCTACTTTGCCCCGAGTCCCTGTGTACATTGTATTTACTGATTCTCCTCCTTTTTATTGTTTTCCTTTTCTAATTCATCTCCCAATCCTCATCCTCACCCTACTTCTTCTTGTTCTACGTCTTCTTTTATTCTTCATCCTCTTCTTCTCTTTATTCTTCTTCTGCAAGGGTAGGGCAATACAGGATCACAGGTCCTAAGCCGAAAACCACAATATGCCATTTTACAATGCCCCCTCCCCCAACCCCGCCCCAGCAAAGTTTAGAGACCTTCTTTTTTTTTAGTACGTTGGAGGCCCGACTCTGCCCCCCCCCCCCTTTCATTTAATGTGCAAATAAGTAAGTACCTCATCATGTCGTCCATAATAATCAAGCAATGTTGGGAAGAGTGGTAGGATCATTGTGAAAGCCAAAAGATCCAGGACCAACGAGATGAAGATAATGCGAACCATGCCATGAGTTTTCGAGTTCTTGGTCTCTGACCCTCCCTCCGGCTGGTCGCCGACTTCAGCCGGTTCAGGATATGATGTTCTTCTGGTGGACACCATAATGAAGTCTGGGTTACTGTCCTTATGTTCTTGCAAATTATGGGAAATCTGCTGTGGGCTGGATGAAGAAAGAAAGAGAGTGGAAAAAGCATATTATTCTTGACAATATTCTTCTAGGCTACATCTGGATACATCTGGATTCATCAGAGCTTGGTGGACAGCCTTGTACATGATAATAGAAGTCTGGGGTCTACATGTAGCTCGATCAGCTCACAAGTCAAAACATTATTACTTAGTCTTAGACGTCTATACTAGACCTATAGGCCTAGACCTGTTAATTATTACTACGCCTAGACCAAGATAAAATATAATTCCATATAATTTCAAGAAAATGGAGCCGACGTCAAGCTAAAAATTCGATTAAGCTTAAGGTCAGTAACCTCACTGGATTAAAACTAAATAAATCAAGCAGCGCAGCTAACTCAACTGTTGCAATTCAGCGAGAAGCACGAGAGTTGCGGACGGAACCACTCACTTAGCTTTGGGCCGGAACCAGCGGCCTAGAATACAATACACAACCGTCGCAAGATTTCCTCGTCGTAGACTTTTTATTTGAGCAAAATATATTGTATTATACGAAAAAAAGACAAGAATTACATAAAAATGCCAGAAATAAATGTTAAAGAGCAAAAAAAATACCTTTTCCAACTGTCAAGTTTGTGTTTATATCGTAAAGATGCTGTCCAAAAGTTTCTCCTCGCCTCAATCTCGTCTCGCTTGTGACAGGCAGTTCCGTGTTTTTCATGCAGTGCTAGCTAGATAAACCGGTACCAGGTACCGTACGTACGATGAGACTGCAATATGCATGCATGATTTATGAAGATGATTGTTTGTGTATAAATTCCGCTCGCGTTATACAATGCGTCCCAAAAAAAATGAAACCGAGAATTATCAATGTTTTATCCCAAGTTTTATCATAACTTAATCACAATCAGACGTGGCGCTCCCTGGGGGGGGGGGTACCCCAAAAGTGCCCCTTTTTACATAGGAAAAGTGCCCCTTTAACTTTGTAAGAAGCGCCCCTTTTTACAGAGGAAAAGTGCCCCTTTTACTTTGAAAAGTGCCCCTATTAATTTGTAAAAGTGCCCCTTCCCCTTACAAACTCTGATAAATCCCCCTTTTATTTTGACACGTACCCCTTTTACTTCGACAAGTTCCCATTTTCCTTTGCAATAAGTGTCCATTTTTCATTCTCATAAGTGCCTTTTTTAATCTCTAGTAAGTGCCATTTTTCAGGTACGAGAAGCGCCCCTTTTCACTTTTGATAAGCGCCCCCTTCACCTCTGATAACTGCACTATTCACATCTTAGAGGTGCCCCTTTTGCTTTGACAAGTGCCCCTTTTCCTTTCTAGGAGTGCCCCTTCCCCTTTTAATAACTACTCCTTTGTTAACTCGGATAAGCGCATCTTATATTTTTACAAGATTGTGCCCCCTTTCCTTTCTAATGAGTGCCCCTTTTCCTTATGATAATTGCCCCCATTAAAAAAATCCCTTTCCCCTTCTCATAAATGCGCCTTTTCATTCTCATAAGTGCCCCTTTTTTCCCTCTTGTAAATGAACCCTATTCAATTCTGAGAGATACTCGTTTTACTATGACAAGTGCCTCTTCCCCTCCTGATAAGTGCTCTTATATGATCCAATATCTTATGATGTGTAAATAGAATTATAGAAACAAATATTGAAATAATCCCTGATAATGTAATCACAATATAGGGGTTACGGGTATATACCAATGTCTAAAATATTGTATATTTTCGCTTTGAGATTTCCCTTTGAAGGTGCCCTCTCCCCCCAGAAAGTGCCCTTTTTTGTTGGTGCCCCCCCCCCACTTTTAAAGTCACTCCGCCGCCTCTGATCACAATTATAATTAATAAATGACACGTATTTGTAAAGCTTAGATCCTCTTCTTTTATTTAATGCAACTCATATGATGCATATTTTACGCATGAGTGATTAAAATCAATTTCAGTTTCTGCCCTTTCATAAATTATGACACCTCAATCAGGAAAAATGAGCAAGGAATAACAAAGGCTTGCATTTCCATAATTTTATTAAACGATTTAGCGTTTTCACTGGCTGCCTGCCATAGCAACAAACGGAATTGACAAAATGACGATCAGCCATAGGCATATGCGAAAGACTTCATGCATGGCTGAATGTCAACGAAACGGAGTAAATTAAGCTTGTTGCTACGGCGGGCAGCCAGTAAAAACGAATTCGTTTAATAAAATTATGGAAATGCAAGCCTTACTTTAAACAAACAGAACTTTGTAATTCCTGGCTTATTTTTTCTGGTTGAGGTGTCATCATCAGTGAAAGGGCAGAAACTGAACTTTTTAGAAATGTGATTTTCTCTTTGAAATTCAGATACCGTCCGCCAATTGACTTTTTGCAGGCCCGTACAAACTATGGGGTTCGGGGGGGGGGGGGGGGTCCCGCGACCCCCCCCCTTCATTTTTTTTAAACATTAATTATTTGCTGAAGTTTAGGGGTGTGTTGATTTTTTTAAATTGTACTCAATACCCTCCCCCCCCCCCCCCCCCCCCCCCCCGCTTATTCGCCGCTAAATAGGCTCGGGCTCGCTCTCACCTTTGGCTCAAAGTTGCAACCCTAAGAGCCCCCACTTAAATAAAGTTGTACGGGCTAGGTTTGATTCTTCTCTTCAAATTGATTTTAATCACTCATGCGTGAAATATGCATCATAATGAAAGAGGAGGATCTAAGCTTTGAAATATGTATCATTTATGATAAAACATCGATATTTCTCGGTTTCGAATTTTCTGGGACGCAATGTAAAAGCATATGGTAATCAGTTTCGGTGTCACTATTGTTTTCTTCCCTACATGTATTATGAACTTTGATTAAAGAAAATTAATTGACCTCTCTCTCTTTTATCATTATTGTATTTATTAGTATCCCTGTGTTTTTAGTGTATAACAACCGTGCACCAACCATGGGGGCACCTTGACTATACAAAAGAAAGAAAAAAAATAAAAAGATCTGCCTAAATTTGGATAATTATGTGAGCCCCCTCCCGTACAAACTGATTCTCGAGTATTGCTTCAGATATTGTTTTTCTATGGTCTAGTGCCCCCTGAGATAATAATAAAAAACTTTATGCTTGCTTGTCACCTTAATTCGTATGTAGATGATTGCCCCCTTCGAGCTTCCCTTCTTACAGAGGCGTTAGCAAATGCTTCCTACTTTGGGAGGGGGTCAGAACTCCCTCCCAGACCCTTCCTCCGTTTGGTCGCTCCGCTCCCTCGCCGCTAAAGCCTCGCTCTGTCGCTTCATCGTTTTACATATATTTCACCCCATGCCATTTTGTGCCCCCCCCCCCCCTGTAAGAAATTCCTGGATCTGCCACTGATGACCATACCCCTTGAGCTTCGGGGGCTCCGGCCCTTGACCCCCGGAGTTATACATTCAATTAAATATAACCAATGAAAAAGCACAATAAATAGAGTGGTTCTCTGACTGCTAAAAAAAAAGTGGGAGGAGCCTAGAGCCCCGCAAGAAAGTTCGATCCCTGGAAAAACAGTCTAACAAGTTTATCAGAAATAAACACCTGTAAATATAATGGAGAAATTCAAGTCCAGGGGTTGTTTACCCTTACCTGGCATGCTATCAAGGACTTTAGAAAGTCAAATTAATAACCATACAAATGATCAACTTAATTAATCCGACTCCTCTATTGCTATAGCGCCCCCTTTAGGTCAATCAACGTACCACTATACAACGATTTCTGAATTGTAGCGACAATCGTTCGCCTTTGCTGCACTTTCAATTATTTTTTTCAGGACTCATGATAAATTCGTTTGACAGTTGATTCCCCTCTGTTGATTATTTTGGTCGGATTATTTGGCGGGGAGGGATAGAAGTGAACGGTCTCACGCTAAACGACGTTGTATTCTTATTTTATTTGTTCATCGTCTCTACAATATAAAATGCTCTTTGAATAAAACAAAAACAGCTTTTATTGTTAGGCTTCGTGAAAGAAATTTCAGTTGTTGTTAAGAAGTTTTTGGTTGCACCCTGTAGATTATGATGATGTGTTTGATTTTGTTTTCAATAACAAGATCAAACACATGCTTTACTGGGTGCAAGCCAATATTTTTTATTTAAGTTCTTTTAACACAACAATAAACACAAATGAGGTGCTATTCGATGTGGCGTACACATGGCATTCACATGGTAGATAAATGAACATCATGCAATACCGGGTCTAATTAATTAGGGAAAACTGAATTTGAACCCGGGCCATAGGCTACACCCCCCCCCCCCCCTCTCTCTCTCTCTCTCTCTCTTGTCATTAATTGCCCTTCTTTTCTCTCGGTTATTTCCTTCTTGCCATGTAATGTGCATGTGTAGGCTATGCCTCGATCATAGAGAAAATAATTACTGATATCGCTAAAATGATTCTTTTCCTTCCCCCTTGTTCTTCATCTTTTTCTTCCTAGTAGTAGTTTGCTTAAAGATAAACTAGGAGTTCTGGTAAAAAAAAGAAAATGAATTCTCACAGAATCTAACGAAACTTACACTGAATGTTCAAGATTACAAATAAATGTCATGTGCCAAATAATTTTGGAAGAAAATGTATACTGGCTGGGTAATGAGCATACTAGATAAGGAAATCAGGGTAGTACCAGCCCCGACACCATGTGTGTTGTCCCATATACATTTTTCTGTGTATTAAAGTGATTGTTACTTTACAAAGACTCTGCCAAATTTATGATGATTTTGATGACTCCAGAACCTTGCATTACACACCATTACTTACATGCTATATGATCAACTTAAGAGGACACTTTTTTTTTTTTTTTTTGGTATCGAAATTTGAACATTTGACATTTTGCTCCATTGGGGGGGGGGGGGTAAGGTCATCTTTTCGAGGTCGGTCATTTTTTTTTTTTTAAACTAAAAAAAAAAAAAAAAAAAAAAAAAAAAAAAAATCCAAAAGGGGGGGGGGGGTTACACACACAAAATTACCAAAGGGGGGGGGGGGGGGTTAACCCCCCAAACCCCCCCCCCTGCATGTGTACGCGCCTGGTGCCATTATAGAAGCGCTGTGCCGTTATAATGAAAACGAATCAAGAATTATTGGAAGTTTAGGGAATATTATGATTTTTTATGAAACAAACAGTAAGCATTTACCAACTTCAGATGTCTGTTTTATTATGATTAAAATTTGAGTCATTTCAAATAACAAAATATTTCTAAGTATTTTTACATTACCTCAAAAATGCCGTCAAAGGTAACAAAAGATCGACGGTCTTGGCTGGTCTGTTACTGATTGCCACACAGTACTGACGTCATTTTTCAGAACGCCATTCGTGTCCATGCGCGTGCAATGACGCCCGTGATTTCTACGTGTCAAACGAAAGAGCTTCTCTCGGACTATATATCCAGAGCAATTTGTAATAATTATGTTGCTTCTATGAAAGGGGAGAAAGGTAGGGCGACAGAAAGGCCTTTAAAAAACGGCCCGTCACGGACAAAATGGCGCCTGCCACGGTCACGCATAAGTGATTTCGGAGAACGAAGACTAGAGAAGGGACCTAGAAAGGGCTCGCAATTAAGCACTGCGTGCAAAACCAATCGGATATAATTATGTAGTGCATGCTAAACATGAGGTGACGCGTGCTGTGCCACAAACAGCCGTATTTCTTAACATAATCATGCAGAATATATTAAATG